TTTTTTAACACATCAACCGTTTCCCTCCGAGTAATATTATAGTGTACACATTTTCTCTGATGTTGGACTAGACAAAATGTTATTCTTGCTGTCACTCCTACAAGTCGTCTGGCTACCACATCTCATAGTATTGTTAATTTATTCTACTGTGGGGTATATTTATTATGTTTATATGTTACATATCATGTTTATTATATAATTTTGAAAAAATATCATAGATGGATTAATGAAAATGTGTATATTAACGTAATATATGACATTTAATGAGACAATGATTATTATTGAGTATGAATTATTATTATCATTATTAATATGGTGTCTCGAGACATATGACACACTTATTGATTTTCATGTGTACAAGCATGCAGCACAATCTGTAAGTTTATTTAGGTACAGTTATACATAAGTATAATTATCAGAGTATATATAAAATATCTCCCTGGGGAAGTGGAACAGAATTCTTCCTCCATAAGCCATGCGTGTCGTAAGAGGCAGCTAAAATGCCGGGAGCAAGGGGCTAGTAACCCCTTCTCCTGTATAATATTACTAAATTTAAAAAGAGAAATTTTCGTTTTTCTTTTTGGGCCACCCTGCCTTGGTGGGATACAGCCGGTTTGTTAAAAAAATATCTTTCTTTCTTTCAACACACCGGCTGTATCCCAACGAAGCTGGGTGGCCCAAAAGGAAAAACGAAAGTTTCTCCTTTCAAATTTAGTAATATATACAGGAGAAGGGGTTACTAGCCCCTTGCTCCTGGCATTTTAGTCGCCTCTTACAACACGCATGGCTTACGGAAGAAGAATTCTGTTCCACTTCCACATGGAGATAAGAGGAAATAAACAAGAACAAGAACTAGAAAGAAAATAGAAGAAAACCCAGAGGGGTATGTATATATACGCTTGTACATGTATGTGTAGTGTGACCTGAGTGTAAGTAGAAGTAGCAAGACGTATCTGAAATCTTGAGTGTTCATGAGACAGAAAAAAGGACACCAGCAATCCTACCATCATGTAAAACAATTTCAGGCTTTCGTTTTACACTCACTTGGCAGGACGATAGTACCTCCCTGGGCGGTTTCTGTCTACCAACCTACTACCTAGGTAAAATAAATAAATAAATAAATATATATATATATATATATATATTTTTTTTTTTTTTTTTTTTTTCAACAAGTCGGCCGTCTCCCACCGAGGCAGGGTGACCCAAAAAAAAGAAAGAAAATCCCCAAAAAGAAAATACTTTCATCATCATTCAACACTTTCACCACACTCGCACATTATCACTGTTTTTGCAGAGGTGCTCAGAATACAACAGTTTAGAAGCATATACGTACGTATAAAGATACACAAAATATCCCCCCAAACTGCCAATATCCCAAACCCCTCCTTTAAAGGGCAGGCATTGTACTTCCCATTTCCAGGACTCGAGTCCGACTATATGAAAATAACCGGTTTCCCTGAATCCCTTCACTAAATATTACCCTGCTCACACTCCAACAGATCGTCAGGTCCCAAGTACCATTCGTCTCCATTCACTCCTTTCTAACACGCTCACGCACGCTTGCTGGAAGTCCAAGCCCCCCACCCACAAAACCTCCTTTACCCCCTCTCTCCAACCCTTTTGAGGACGACCCCTACCTCAACTTCCTTCCCCTACAGATTTATATGCTTTCCATGTCATTCTACTTTGATTCATTCTCTCTAAATGACCAAACCACCTCAACAACCCCTCTTCTGCCCTCTGACTAATACTTTTATTAACTCCACACCTTTTCCTAATTTCCACACTCCGAATTTTCTGCATAATATTTACACCACACATTGCCCTTAGACAGGACATCTCCACTGCCTCCAACCGTCTCCTCGCTGCTGCATTTACCACCCAAGCTTCACATCCATATAAGAGTGTTGGTACTACTATACTTTCATACATTCCCTTCTTTGCCTCCATAGATAACGTTTTTTGACTCCACATGTACCTCAACGCACCACTCACCTTTTTTCCCTCATCAATTCTATGATTAACCTCATCCTTCATAAATCCATCCGCCGACACGTCAACTCCCAAGTATCTGAAAACATTCACTTCTTCCATACTCCTCCTCCCCAATTTGATATCCAATTTTTCTTTATCTAAATCATTTGATACCCTCATCACCTTACTCTTTTCTATGTTCACTTTCAACTTTCTACCTTTACACACATTCTCAAACTCATCCACTAACCTTTGCAATTTTTCTTTAGAATCTCCCATAAGCACAGTATCATCAGCAAAAAGTAACTGTATCAATTCCCATTTTGAATTTGATTCCCCATAATTTAATCCCACCCCTCTCCCGAACACCCTAGCATATACTTCTTTTACAACCTCATCTATAAATATATTAAACAACCATGGTGACATTACACATCCCTGTCTAAGACCTACTTTTACCGGGAAGTATTCTCCCTCTCTTCTACACACCCTAACCTGAGCCTCACTATCCTCATAAAAGCTCTTTACAGCATTTAGTAACTTACTACCTATTCCATAAACTTGCAACATCTGCCACATTGCTCCTCTATCCACTCTATCATATGCCTTTTCTAAATCCATAAATGCAATAAAAACTTCCCTACCTTTATCTAAATACTGTTCACATATATGCTTCAATGTAAATACTTGATCTACACATCCCCCACCCACTCTGAAGCCTCCTTGCTCATCCGCAATTCTACATTCTGTCTTACCTCTAATTCTTTCAATTATAACCCTACCGTATACTTTTCCTGGTATACTCAGTAAACTTATTCCTCTATAATTTTTACAATCTCTTTTGTCCCCTTTCCCTTTATATAAAGGGACTAAACATGCTCTCCGCCAATCCCTAGGTACCTTCCCCTCTTTCATACATTTATTAAACAAAAGTACCAACCACTCCAACATTATATCCCCCCCTGCTTTTAACATTTCTGTCATGATCCCATCAGTTCCAGCTGTTTTTACCCCCTTTCATTCTACGTAATGCCTCACGTACCTCCACCACACTTACATTCTGCTCTTCTTCACTCCTAAAAGATGGTATACCTCCCTGGCCAGTGCATGAAATTACCACCTCCCTTTCTTCCTCAACATTTAAAAGTTCCTCAAAATATTCTCACCATCTATCTAATACCTCCCTCTCCCCATCTACTAACTCCCCTACTCTGTTTTTAACGGACAAATCCATACTTTCCCTAGGCTTTCTTAACTTGTTTAACTCACTCCAAAATTTTTTCTTATTTTCATTAAAATTTCTTGACAGTGCCTCTCCCACTCTTTTATCTGCTCTCCTTTTGCACTCTCTCACCACTCTCTTCACCTTTCTTTTACTCTCCATATACTCTGCTCTTCTTATAACACTTCTGCTTTGTAAAAACCTCTCGTAAGCTACCTTTTTCTCTTTTATCACACCCTTTACTTCATCATTCCACCAATCACTCCTCTTTCCTCCTGCCCCCACCCTCCTATAACCACAAACTTCTGCCCCACATTCTAATACTGCATTTTTAAAAGTATTCCAACCCTCTTCAACCCCCCCACTACTCATCTTTGCACTAGCCCACCTTTCTGCCAATAGTCGCTTATATCTCGCCCGAACTTCCTCCTCCCTTAGTTTATACACTTTCACCTCCCTCTTACTTGTTGTTGCCACCTTCCTCTTTTCCCATATTATTCCCATATTATTCTTCCTCCATGGGCCATGCATGTCGTAGGAGGCGACTAAAATGCCCGGAGCAGGGGGCTATTGACCCCTTCTCCTTTATATATTACTAAATTTGAAAGGAGAGACTTTCGTTTTTCCTTTTGGGCCACCCCACCTCGGTGGGATACGGCTGGTACGTTGAAAGAAAAGAAAAGATATACGTATAAAATATGAAATAACTTTTAAAAACACTTGAAATTTCAAGACATAATGTAGAGACGTGGTGCTCATGAAGAATATAAACATACTGGGTGGAGCGCGGTGATCGTATTAGAAAGTCAGGTGGGGGGAGCCGTATAGCGAGTTTTGGTCATAATTTGAAATGTCTGTATTAGCGGAATGCCGTAAAATGGGGCCCTACTGTACTTAAGTACCTGTACTATTTAAGTACTACCTCATACTTAACATATGACATTAAGACTAGAATGCTTAAAATATGAAATAAGATAGCCAGTTTTTTTTAAAAAACCATAATGTCCATTGAGCATTATCCAAAAACGAAACCGTAAGTGATAAGAGTAAAAAATTTTCTCAACACCTTCAAAAAAATATATTAGCAGAACAACTTTTTGGATTTAATATAGAATATGATATGGAATAAATGGAAATGTTTACGCATTTCAGGACAAAACAATAATTGAATTGTTATCATATAATGCAGGTTTTCAAATAGTGAACAAAGCTACAGTATTTCTCAAACAGGGTACAAGGGGTCTTCCATCTAAACACAATACAGAAAACTGTATTATACAGTTACCTATGAAAGTTACAATACTGTGACTGAAACATATCACAAATAACCTACAAATTGTAATAAAGTTGGTAGAATTACCGACAATATGTAAAGTAAAAGGACACAAGGGCAACTAATGTGACATTTATTGTGGCAACGTTTCGCTCTCCAGGAGCTTTATCAAGCCATTACGTAATGGCTTGATAAAGCTCCTGGAGAGCGAAACGTTGCCACAATAAATGTCACATTAGTTGCACTTGTGTCCTTTTACTTTACAACCTACAAATTGTAAGTGGAATCAAGAATACCAAACAATGGTCCAGGATGGACCCAAACATCATGTAATTTCCATTTTCAAATCTATGCACTATTTGTGAATATTATACATGATTCCAATCTGAAGACATTATTCAAATATTAGAAGAATAAAAAAAATATTTTGCAGAATAAATTACTTTTTAGTTTAATTCAGTTCATGGTCCACAAGTTTTACTGTAAACAGGAATAAAAAATAAGCTGATATAATCATCTGCCTAGGCATACCTTGAGAGAGCCGAGGTTGGTGTGGCAGGAGCTGGAATGTCATCTAGGCCTCGATGAATTGAAATATTGTCATCATCATGCCCAATTAGACGAGCTTCTTGTGCTTTGCGATAGTCCAGAGTAGCTAAAGATTCTCGAGTAGGTTTATGATATCTGAGGAAATTTGATTTTATATTTTATTGATCTCAAACAATGATATATTACAAACTTTTTTGTAATACAGTATACAGTAGGCTTCAATCTTCAACATTCTATTCTGGATGTCTGGAGAATTAACCCTTTGACTGTCGCAACCCCCAATCCTGAGGTGTCTCCTGGTGTCGCAAAATTTAAAAAAAAAAAAAAATAATTTTTTTCTTATGAAATGATAGAGAATCTTTTCCCGATTGTAATTACACCAACAAAAACGAAATTTGATGGAAAACTGACGGAATTATGCTCTCGCGAACTTAGCGACCTCGGCGCTGTTTACAAATCGGCGATTTCGCCCACTTTGAGCCCTATTTTCGGCTAATTCCATTGTTCCAATCACCCAAACTCATAGCTATTTCTTTAGAACTCCATTTTTTCTATCGATTGAGTACAAGAAACTGCCCATTTACCGATTCCAACTACCTAATAATGTGGTCAGAAATTTGCAATTTGGCCAATTTCACGAAAACTAAAAAATATGACAATTTCAAAATAAGGTCCAGAATGAACAATGCAGACATTCCTGGCTCTAAAATAACATTTTCTTTGCTCATCAGTCATGTCTCCAGTCCCCTCTGATATTACTCTTGCTTTCTATTTTGAATTTTTATTCAAACAAAAAATAGAAGACTTACTATTATGCAGACTACTGCAATACTGTAATAATTGTATAAATAACATCAACCCATTCATGACTGCATATTAGAATGGCTAGTTGGACATTCATTGGACAATGGCATCATTTGTTTACTTTTGAACATTGGCAAAAATCAAACATTTTCCCTACTTTGAGCTCCATTTCTAGGTTCTTTTTATAGTAAAATCAATCAAAATCACCTCTATTTCTATAATATGTTTTTCATTCTATCAAATGAGACCAAGAAAACGAGAATACAACCATAAATACTATAAGAAAATAGACCACAAAGTCGGCATTTTAATTAAAAAAAAAAAACGGTCGGAGTTTTTTTTTTCTCATTATGCACTGCGTGTTCCAGGATTTTTTTTATATGGTGCACACTGACCACACAGACCCATTTTCTCACATGTGGGCCTACCAGCTTTCTCCTGCTTGATTTGAAGCCGCTAGAATTTATGAGTATATATACGTCAAACACGGTACCTCGTAAGACGTATATATACGGCCACGACAGTCAAAGGGTTAATAACTAAGTTTCATTTGTGCTGACTCTGAGTACTCAAATTAAATTTCACTTACACTATCAAATATTATGTTTCATTTTGATGATTCAAAAAGCTTACACTTATACAAGATATGAGTGCAATGCAAACTGTTCATGGTTTCTGGTTTCTTTTAACTGTTTTGATAGTACTGCAATGAATGCATGAATTATCCCATATTCTTCATTGGCTATAAATTGCAATATACACCATGGCCTGAGAAGAGGACTCACTGATTCATAAATAACTAATTTTTAATTATTCATAAACAGGTTTATCTTGGGTGTGTTATTTCTACCACTCAGATTATATGTTTTACCTGATCTATTACTTATTCTCACACCCCATATTATTCCCTAAGCTTCTGCTTTATTGTACCTGTCCTCTAAAAGGAGATCTGATCCAATGAGTCTGACTTACCAGTATTCTCTCTTTCCTTGGAACAAACGCAACTGCCTCCCATTTGATTTGGAGCTGTATGACCCCAATACCATAATATTTTTTAAAAGCTATCTCCTTAGCATAATCAAAGAAGAACAAGTGTATGTACATAAATTCTAAACCAACAGGAAGACATTTTCCCCAACCCAGAGACTTACTGGAGACTCAAGTGTGTTAAAAATTAATAGAAAAATGTAAGGAATGAAGACGAAAGAAATAAAAAAAAAATCCAACATTAAAATTGCAAAAAAAAAAAAAAAAAAAGAGGATTCATTGTGAAAGATGTAATATAAATGATCAGCAATGAAAACAAAATCACCAAATAAAAAGAGTAAAAAATGTGAGATACTAAATGTGAGGTTCCAGAGAATGTTTACATAAGAGTGTCTTGCAGATGAAGCAGAGCGTCTTTCAATATTTATTAATATTCATTAACCCCTTGACTGTCGCAACCCCAAATCCTGATGTGTCTCCTGGTGTCGCAAAATTAAAAAAAAAAAAAAAAAGAAGAAAAAAAAAAAAATCTTATGAAATGTTAGAGAATCTCTTCCCGATTGTAATGACACCAAAAGAACGAAATTTGATGGAAAACTGACAGAATTACGCTCTTGCGAAGTTAGCAACCTCGGCGATATTTACGAATTGACGATTTCGCCCAATTTGAGCCCTATTTTCGGCTAATTTCATTGTTGCAGTCGACCAAACTCATAGCTATTACTTTAGAACTCCACTACCACTACCCAATAATGAGGTCAGAAATTTGCAATTTGGCCAATTTCATGAAAATTTAAAAATATGAAAATTTCAAAATATGGTCCACAATGAACAATGCAGACATTCCTGGCTCTAAAATAACATTTTCTTTGTTCATCAGTCATGTTTCCAGGCCCCTCTGATATTACTCTTGCTTTCTATTTTGAATTTTTATTCAAACAAAAAATAGATGATTTGCTGTTATGCAGACTACTGCAATATTGTAATAATTGTATAAATAATGTCAACCCATTCATGACTGCATATTAGAATGGCTACTTGGACATTTATTGGACAATGACATCATTTGTTTACTTTTGAACATTGGCAAAAATCAAACATTTCCCCTACTTTGAGCTCCATTTCAAGGTTCTTTTTATAGTAAAACCAATCAAAATCACCTCTATTTCTATAATATGTTTTCCATTCTATCAAATGAGATCAAGAAAACGAGAATACAACCATAAATACTATACGAAAATAGACCACAAAGTCGGCATTTTAATTAAAAAAAGAAAACAGTGGAGTTTTTTTTCTCATTATGCACTGCGTGCTGCAGGATTTTTTTATATGGTGCACACTGACCACACAGACCCATTCTCTCACATGTGGGCCTACCAGCTTTCTCTTGCTTGATTTGAAGCCGCTAGAATTTATGAGTATACAGTGGATCCCCGGTTTACGATATTATTTAATTCCAGAAGTATGTTCGGGTGCCAGTACTGAACGAATTTGTTCCCATAAGGAATATTGTGAATTAGATTAGTCCATTTCAGACCCCCAAACATACACATACAAATGAACTTACATAAATACACTTACATAATTGGTCGCATTGGGAGCTGATCATAAAGCGGGGGTCCACTGTATATACGTCAAAAACGGTGGCTCCTAAGACGTATATATACGACCAAAACAGTCTAAGGGTTAAAATAAAAATATGCCATGACAAATTTATACCCTTGTCCATCTCTGCTAGATGACCCATTGGTACTACAAATAATTCAGTATAATACAAATCATTTGACTCATGCTATATCTGGATATGACTACAGGAACGCATCCCCTCCATTCTTGTACAAGCTAAATTTCTGTATCTGCAAATTCACCACTTGTGAGGAGTGCAGAATATATAAAGAAAAAGAATGCTAAAACAAACATATTACAATACAGTAAATTACTTACAATTTGAGCAGAAGAGATGAACACACCACAGATACAGAGCTTAATGCCATTGCAGCTGAGCCCATCCATGGCTGTAACAACAGTATTCATTAAGCTTATATTTTATATGTAGTACAGCTATAAAGGGATGAGCCTTCCAATACATTCATGAGCTACAATATCTTACACTGCTAATAGAAGGGCAATCTTATTTGTCTGGCAGCTTTTCTGGGTAATAATTTCTTTTTACTGTTCATTATTTACAAATGTGTGTCAACTTACACACCTACATGTGAACTATTGATGTAATTTACAAAATATGTACCTGATTGTAATTACAGGTAAAACAATTACAAATATTCAATTATTTTAAATATTATTTTTATTTTTTTTTACACACTGGCCATCTTCCACCAAAGTAGAGTGACCTGAAAACAAACACTTTCATCATCATTCACTACATCACTGTCTTGTCAGAGGTACACTGATGCTATAGTTCACATGCCCCTCCAAACTGCAAATATCCTTACCCCTCTTTCAGGCACTGTACTTCCCATCATCAAGGCTCAAGCCTGACTAACCAGTTTCTCCTGAATCTCTTCACAAAACATTACTTGGCTCATACTCCAACGGCATGTAAAGTCCCAAAAACCATTTGCCCCTACTCACTTTTATCTAACATGTTCCCACATGCCTACTGGAAGTCCAAGCCCCAAGTACACAAAACCTCTTTTACTTTTCTTTCCAACCTTTCCTACAGTGATTCCTACTCTGCCTTCTCTCCACTACAGACTTAATCACCCTCCAAGTCATCCTATTTTGCTCCATAATCTCTAAATGTCCAACCCACCTCAGCCCTACCTACCTCCAGGTAGGTAGGTAGGCAGGTAGCCCTCTGGATAATACTTTTAATAACTCCACACCTCCTCCTAATCTCCAGATTACAAATACTGCATAATATTAACACCACACATTGACCTCAGACATATCCCCACTGCCTTCAGCCTCCTCCTCGCTGCAGCATTCACAACCCAAGCTTCACACCCATATAAGAGTATTGGTACCACCATACACTCAAACATTCCCTTTTTGCCTTTATGGACAACATTCTTTGTCTCCATATATGCCTCTATGTGCCATCCATCTTTTTCCCTTCAACAATTCTATGCCTTCCGCACATTTAAATTTGGTTCTTCTTCACTCCTGTAGGATGCTATACATCTTACAGGAGTGAGGAAATCACTGCCTCCCATTCTCTATCCACATTTAACAGTGACTCAAAATATTTCTGCCATCTTCCCAATACCTCGAACTCCCAATCTAATATATCTCCTCTTTACCAAACCTCACCCATTCCCTCATTTGCTCTCCTTTTACACTCCCTCACCACTCTCTCCACCTCTCCTTTACTATCCATATATTCCACCCTCTTTATATCACTTCTGCTTTGTACAAAAAAAAAACTTTCAAATGCTAACTTTTTCCCTTATTACTCCCTATACCTCATTATTCCACCAACTGCTCCCCTTCCCTTCTGCACCCACCCTCCTATAACCACAAACTTCTGCTACACATACTAACACTACATTCTTAAATCTACCCCATACAATTCAACCTCATTATGTATACTCTCACTAGCCCATCTTTCTCCCAATAGTTCTTCATATTATTATTTTTTTTTAACACACTGGCTGTCTCCCACCGAAGCAGGGTGACCCCAAAAAGAAACACTTTCACCATCATTCACACTAACACTGTTTTGCCAGAGGCATGCAGATATGAACAATTATTTTTGATTTTTTAATAAGTCAGCCGTCTCCCACCGAGGCAGGGTGACCCAAAAAGGAAAGTAAATCCCCAAAAAGAAAATACTTTCATCATCATTCATCAATTTCACCTCACTCACACATAATCACTGTATTATTATTATTATTATTATTATTTCCAGCAAGTGTGTGTGTGTGTATATGTTAGATAGGAGCGAAGTACAATGCCTGCACTTTAAAGGAGGGGTTTGGGATATTGGCAGTTTGGAGGGATATGTTGTGTATCTTTATATGTGTATGCTTCTAAACTGTTGTATTCTGAGCACCTTTGCAAAAACAGTGATAATGTTTGAGTGTGGTGAAAGTGTTGAATGATGATGAAAGTATTTTCTTTATGGGGATTTTCTTTCTTTTTTGGGTCACCCTGCCTCGGTGGGAGACGGCCGACTTGTTGAAAAAAAAAACAAAGGAGTGAATGGAGATATATGGCTTTTGGGACCTGACGAGCTGTTGGAGTGTGAGCAGGGTAATATTTTGTGAAGAGAATGCAGTTTTATAACTGTAGTGTAAGGATGCCTCTGGCAAGACAGTGATGGAGTGAATGATTTTGAAAGTTTTTCTTTTTTTGGGCCATCCTACCTTGGTGGGAAATGACTGATGTGTTAATAAAAATATAATTCAGGGAAACTGGTTAGCTGGATTTGAGTCCTGGAAATTTGAAGTGCAATGCCTACACTTTTAAGGAGGGGTTTGGGATATTGGCAGTTTGGAGGGACGTCTAAGATGTCATATCTGACTGCCTCTGCAAAGGCAGTGAGTATGTATGAGTTTTGGTGAAAGTGTTGAATGATGATGAAAGTTTTATTTTCTTTCTTTCTTTTTGGGTAACCCTGCCTCAGTGGGAAGCGGCCGACATGTTAAAAAAAAAAAAAAAAATCTTATTCATATTCAATGCCTTTAACAAGGTTTTGTCATAAATTATTTTTTTCTCAGCAAATGAGCTGCTAAACTTACTTGCAAATAAAATCCAAAAGGTCTAAATACTCCTGCTGCAACTGGTATCCCTACTAAGTTATAGATGGAGGCAAATATAAAGTTAAGATGGATTCTGCGCACAGTTTTTTTTGAAAGGTCCAAACAAGCAACCACATCTACCAGGTCATTCTGGATAAAAGAGAGAATATATTAAGTTTAACATTTTAATAAAACAATATACAATAATACCTAAAAATTTATGACTTCTAGAAAATTTAGATGCAAGATAGTAATATGACTGCAGAATACCGAGAAATGAAAAAGCACTTCAGTTAACCCTTCTCACTGCAATATCAATAATTCAAAATATAAATCTAACACTTTCAAGTTATTTCAGGTTCTGTACAGTTCAACCCAGGAATTCTTATACTTCATAGTCCATGTCATTCAATTACATATTGAACGGCATCAATTGTTCACATTTCTCTTTGTCCAGTATTTTTACTTTTTTTTATTATTAACACATTGGCCGTCTACCACTGAGGCAGGGTGGCCCAAAAAAGAAAAACTTTCATCATCTTTTTCAGGCCACACTGCCTTGGTGGGAAATGGCTATATAATGGCTAATAATAATAATAATGCCAGGTGTAAATGAAAATGGGAGCCCTTTGATCGAACTTTGTATAGAAAGAGGTTTAGTTATAGGTAATACATATTTAAAGAAAAAGAGGATAAATAAGTATACAAGATATGATGTAGGACGAAATGACAGTAGTTTGTTGGATTATGTATTGGTAGATAAAAGACTGTTGAGTAGACTTCAGGATGTACATGTTTATAGAGGGGCCACAGATATATCAGATCACTTTCTAGTTGTAGCTACACTGAGAGTAAAAGGTAGATGGGATGCAAGGAGAATAGAAGCATCAGGGAAGAGAGAGGTGAAGGTTTATAAACTAAAAGAGGAGGCAGTTAGGGTAAGATATAAAGAGCTATTGGAGGATAGATGGGCTAATGAGAGCATAGGCAATGGGGTCGAAGAGGTATGGGGTAGGTTTAAAAATGTAGTGTTACAGTGTTCAGCAGAAGTTTGTGGTTACAGGAAAGTGGGTGCAGGAAGGAAGAGGAGCGATTGGTGGAATGATGATGTAAAGAGAGTAGTAAGGGAGAAAAAGTTAGCATATGAGAAGTTTTTACAAAGTAGAAGTGATACAAGGAGGGAAGAGTATATGGAGAAAAAGAGAGAGGTTAAGAGAGTGGTGAAGCAATGTAAAAAGAGAGCAAATGAGAGAGTAGGTGAAATGTTATCAACAAATTTTGTTGAAAATAAGAAAAAGTTTTGGAGTGAGATTAACAAGTTAAGGAAGCCTAAAGAACAAATGGATTTGTCAGTTAAAAATAGGAGAGGAGAGTTATTAAATGGAGAGTTAGAGGTATTGGGAAGATGGAGGGAATATTTTGAGGAATTGTTAAATGTTGATGAAGATAGGGAAGCTGTGATTTTGTGTATAGGGCAAGGAGGAACAACATCTTGTAGGAGTGAGGAAGAGCCAGTTGTGAGTGTGGGGGAAGTTCGTGAGGCAGTAGGTAAAATGAAAGGGGGTAAGGCAGCCGGGATTGATGGGATAAAGATAGAAATGTTAAAAGCAAGTGGGGATATAGTTTTGGAGTGGTTGGTGCAATTATTTAATAAATGTATGGAAGAGGGTAAGGTACCTAGGGATTGGCAGAGAGCATGCATAGTTCCTTTGTATAAAGGCAAAGAGGACAAAAGAGAGTGCAAAAATTATAGGGGGATAAGTCTGTTGAGTATACCTGGTAAAGTGTATGGTAGAGTTATTATTGAAAGAATTAAGAGTAAGTCGGAGAATAGGATAGCAGATGAATAAGGAGGCTTTAGGAAAGGTAGGGGGTGTGTGGACCAGGTGTTTACAGTGAAACATATAAGTGAACAGTATTTAGATAAGGCTAAAGAGGTCTTTGTGGCATTTATGGATTTGGAAAAGGCATATGACAGGGTGGATAGGGGGGCAATGTGGCAGATGTTGCAGGTGTATGGTGTAGGAGGTAGGTTACTGAAAGCAGTGAAGAGTTTTTACGAGGATAGTGAGGCTCAAGTTAGAGCATGTAGGAAAGAGGGAAATTATTTCCCAGTAAAAGTAGGCCTTAGGCAAGGATGTGTGATGTCACCTTGGTTGTTTAATATACAGTGGACCCCCGGTTAACGATATTTTTTCACTCCAGAAGTATGTTCAGGTGCCAGTACTGACCGAATTTGTTCCCATGAGAAATATTGTGAAGTAGATTAGTCCATTTCAGACCCCCAAACATACACGTACAAACGCACTTACATAAATACACTTACATAATTGGTCGCATTCGGAGGAAATCGTTATGCGGGGGTCCACTGTATTTACAGATGGGGTTGTAAGAGAAATAAATGCGAGGGTCTTGGCAAGAGGCGTGGAGTTAAAAGATAAAGAATCACACATAAAGTGGGAGTTGTCACAGTTGCTCTTTGCTGATGACACTGTGCTCTTGGGAGATTCTGAAGAGAAGTTGCAGAGATTGGTGGATGAATTTGGTAGGGTGTGCAAAAGAAGAAAATTAAAAGTGAATACAGGAAAGAGTAAGGTTATGAGGATAACAATAAGATTAGGTGATGTAAGATTGGATATCAGATTGGAGGGAGAGAGTATGGAGGAGGTGAATGTATTCAGATATATGGGAGTGGACATGTCAGCGTATGGGTCTATGAAAGATGAGGTGAATCATAGAATTGATAATGGGAAAAGGGTGAGTGGTGCACTTAGGAGTCTGTGGAGACAAAGAACTTTGTCCTTGGAGGCAAAGAGGGGAATGTATGAGAGTATAGTTTTACCAACGCTCTTATATGGGTGTGAAGCATGGGTGATGAATGTTGCAGCGAGGAGAAGGCTGGAGGCAGTGGAGATGTCATGTCTGAGGGCAATGTATGGTGTGAATATAATGCAGAGAATTCGTAGTTTGGAAGTTAGGAGGAGGTGCGGGATTACCAAAACTGTTGTCCAGAGGGCTGAGGAAGGGTTGTTGAGGTGGTTCGGACATGTAGAGAGAATGGAGCGAAACAGAGTGACTTCAAGAGTGTATCAGTCTGTAGTGGAAGGAAGGCGGGGTAGGGGTCGGCCTAGGAAAGGTTGGAAGGAGGGGGTAAAGGAGGTTTTGTGTGCGAGGGGCTTGGACTTCCAGCAGGCATGCGTGAGCGTGTTTGATAGGAGTGAATGGAGACAAATGGTTTTTAATACTTGACGTGCTGTTGGAGTGTGAGCAAAGTAACATTTATGAAAGGGTTCAGGGAAACTGACAGGCTGGACTTGAGTCCTGGAGATGGGAAGTACAGTGCCTGCACTCTGAAGGAGGGGTGTTAATGTTGCAGTTTAAAAACTGTAGTGTAAAGCACCCTTCTGACAAGACAGTGATGGAGTGAATGATGGTGAAAGTTTTTCTTTTTCGGGCCACCCTGCCTTGGTGGGAATCGGCCAGTGTGATAATAAAAAAATAATAAAAAAAATAATAATACCGGTGCAAGGGGCTAGTAACCCCTTCTCCCGTATAAATTACTAAATTTAAAAAGAGAAACTTTTGTTTTTCTTTTTGGGCCACCCCGCATTGGTGGGATACGGCTGGTGTGTTGAAAGAAGAAATAATAATAATAATAATAATAATAATTGTAGGTAGTAGGTTGGTAGACAGCAACCGCCCAGGGAGGTACTACCGTCCTGCCAAGTGAGTGTAAAACGAAAGCCTGTAATCGTTTTACATGATGGTAGGATTGCTGGTGTCTTTTGTCTGTCTCATAAATATGCAAGATTACAAGTAAGTCTTGCTACTTCTACTTACACTTAGGTCACACTACACATACATGTACAAGCATATATATACACACCCCTCTGGGTTTTCTTCTATTTTCTTTCTAATTCTTGTTCTTGTTTATTTCCTCTTATCTCCATGGGGAAGTGGAACAGAATTCTTCCTCTGTAAGCCATGCTTGTCGTAAGAGGCGACTAAAATGCCGGGAGCAAGGGGCTAGTAACCCCTTCTCCTGTATATATTACTAAATTTAAAAGGAGAAACTTCAGTTTTTTCTTTTGGGCCACCCCACCTCAGTGGGATACGGCTGGTACGTTGAAAGAAGAAATAATAATAATAATAATAATAATTTTCATATAGTCGGACTTGAGTCCTGGAAATAGGAAGTACAATGCCTGCACTTTAAAGGAGGGGTTTGGGATATTGGCAGTTTGGAGGGATATGTTGTGTATCTTTATATGTGTATGCTTCTAAACTGTTGTATTCTGAGCACCTCTGCAAAAACAGTGATAATGTGTGTGTGGTGAAAGTGTTGAATGATGAAAGTATTTTCTTTTTGGGGATTTTCTTTCTTTTTTGGGTCACCCTGCCTCGGTGGGAGACGGCAGACTTGTTGAAAAAAAAAATAATAATAATAATAATATGTAGAGAGAATGGAGCGAAACAGAATGACTTCAAGAGTGTATCAGTCTGTAGTGGAAGGAAGGCGGGGTAAGGGTTGGCCTAGGAAAGGTTGGAGGGAGGGGGTAAAGGAGTTTTGTGTGTGAGGGGCTTGGACTTCCAGTGGGCATGCGTGAGCGTGTTTGATAGGAGTGAATGGAGACAAATGGTTTTTAATACTTGACGTGCTGTTGGAGTGTGAGCAAAGTAACATTTATGAAGGGATTCAGGGAAACCGGCAGGCCGGACTTGAGTCCTGGAGATGGGAAGTACAGTGCTTGCACTCTGAAGGAGGGGTGTTAATGTTGCAGTTTAAAAACTGTAGTGTAAAGCACCCTTCTGGCAAGACAGTGATGGAGTGAATGATAGTGAAAGTTTTTCTTTTTCGGGCCACCCTGCCTTGGTGGGAATCGGCCAGTGTGATAATAATAATAATAAAATAATAATAAACTGGTCCATAAAATGTGAACAATTTTTTTTACTTTTTGTGCAATCTTAACCCTTAAACTGTCCAAAGGTAGATCTATGTTTGCTCGTGTAGCACTCCGAATGTAGATCTACGTTTTTTTTACATTGTTTCTTATGGAGAAAATCAAGGTTGGAGAGCTACGTGCGCAAACGTAGATCTACGTTTGGACAGTTTAAGGGTTAATTAAAAAAAAAAACAGAGAATTTTATTTTAAATATGTTCATTATTTTTTATGAGTTTTAATCTTACAGATATTAGAGCAATATTTAAAATTATATGGCCATTCTTTTTAAACTAACTCAAACATGAAAATTTTCCTATTATCTGCAGCTTCAGGATTCAAATCACCTTTAGGAACCCAAGCTCTGTGAATTACTGGGTTCAAATAAATGTAATATCTGCATTTACAGTAGTTGTAATACTCAAATATTTAAAGTTCTATATTCCCTTAGCACTGCCTTTCTCTGTAAACTTAAAAAAAGAAAAATCTTACCCTAATGAGAACAACATCAGCAGCCTCAACTGCAACATCAGTGCCGGAGGATATAGCAATACCAACATCAGCTTGAGCTAAGGCTGGTGAATCATTAACACCATCTCCAACCATTGCCACTTTCTGACTTAACTCTTGCAGCTGTTTTATTTTCTTCACCTGAGAAAAGAATATCATATTTACTTAAACAGAAAATATAACCATTTTAGGCGATAATACAAATTGCAATAAACAGGGACTGACTGATTGCAATAACTTTTATATATTGTACTGTACACTAAATCTCCGGCAGTCTTGTGTCTTGAAATCCGGCTAGGATATGTATCATTGATTCAATTAACTCTACCCTGGGAACCTGCCATTCTTCACATCTTCTGTACATAATAATGTCTGTTAATAATATTACAGTGAAGTAAAGCACAGAAGAAGTTACAAGGAAAAAGTGTTTGCTATTTGAATTAAAAAACTAAAGTAATAAAATTGGTAAATGAGTAAATAGTCAGACAATTTTAAAAATAATCTGTACATATAAAAGTTTATTTTTTACTTTTTTTAGTGAAATTTTTTTATACAGCAGCTTTTGAAATTAACTATACTCATAAAGACTTTCAACTTTAGCCCAATAAAACTTCTGTGGTGAATAAGCTTCCTTTTTTTTTTAGATCACCCTACCTTGGTGGTAATGGTCAAATGTGGTAATGAAAAAATACACGTACTTTGTGAGAAGGAAGAACTTCTGCAAAAACTCTGGTAATGCCAACTTGTCTTGCAATGGCTGCTGCTGTCTTCTGGTTGTCACCTGTTAGAAGAATAACACCCAGACCCTTCTTCTTGAGAGTATACACAGTTAAGGCAGCCTCTGGTTTCACAGTGTCTGCAACAGCCAGCATGCCCATCAGCTGACCTGTCAAGGAGATATAAATTAGAATGAAAAATGACAAAGAAAATACAGTAGAGTATAAAGAAAAGCTTATTATTGTCATTCCTACATTACAATAACTGTACCTAAATTTTTATTTAACATTTCCCCAAGAGGAAACAATCTTAGTATGAAAATACCAGTTAGCATAAAGGCTTGACTTTTATAAATCATGTTCAGGCCAGACGACAAATCAGTCTTCTTACAAATCTATTCTATATACTGCCTCTCCTCACTTAACGATAGAGTTCCGCTCCTAATACCGCATCGCTAAACGAATCTGTCGCTAAACAGGAATCGTGCTATAATGGTAGTGGGTATTTGTCAGCCATCTTTGATACTGCTTTAATGGAATCCTTGCATCATTTATAACATTTTTAGTGTATTTTTAAATGTTTATACAGTATTTTTTTTCTTTTATCAAGTCGCCCATCTCCCACCGAGGCAGGGTAACCCAAAAAGAAAGAAAATCCCCAAAAAGAAAGAAAATCCCCAAAAAGAAAATACTTTCATCATCATTCAACACATTCACCTTACTCATACATAATCACTGTTTTTGCAGAGGTGCTCAGAATACAACAGTTTAGAAGCATATGCATATAAAGATACACAACATATCCCTCCAAACTGCCAATATCCCAAACCCCTCCTTTAAAGTGCAGGCATTGTACTTCCCATTTCCAGGACTCAAGTCCAGCTATATAAAAAGAACCGGTTTTCCTGAATCCCTTCACTAAATATTACCCTGCTCACACTCCAACAGCTCGTCAAGTCCTAAATACCATTTATCTCCATTCACTCCTATCCAACGCTCCAGACATAAATTACTTTCTTCAGTAAAGGATTTTGGTTTTAGATTTTCTGCCCTTTATATTCATTAGAGAAAAATCATGATGGCCTGGAACCCAGGCTTTCCCATGAAAGTTCTGTTCCTAAATTTACACCAAACAATGGAATAACAAAATCAGACATGTCCGTACTGATAACAGGCATATGCAGGTGTTCAAACATTGACTGGAGGAGAAAGGTCTTTGGGATATGACATGATTTAAGTGTCAGGGACACCATAATAGACAGACTTGAGTTTCAGAGGTGAGAGGTATAATGCATGCCCCTTAAAAGTCAAGATGGAAAACTGTGGTTGAGATGACTATCAATGGGTCATGTTATATGTCTGAAAAGGCAACTAAGGAGCAAGTGATGATGAATGTGCTTTATTCTCTGGTTCTCTTTCCTTGGTAGAAAATAGCCAGTGCAAGAAAAAAAAATGTTAATTATTAAGAGAGAAAAAGTTTTTTTTTTTTAACACGTTGGCCATTTCCCACTAATGCAGGGTGACCCAAAAAGAAAGAAAATCCCCAAAAAGAAAATACTTTCGTCATTCAACACTTTCACCTCACTCATGCATAATCACTGTTTTTGCAGAGGTGCTCAGAATACAACAGTCTAGAAGCATATGTGTATAAAGATACACAACATATCCCTCCAAACTGCCAATATCCCAAACCCCTCCTTTAAAGTGCAGGCATTGTACTTACCATTTCCAGGACTCAAGTCCAGCTATATGAAAATAACCGGTTTCCCTGAATCCCTTCACTAAATATTACCCTGCTCACACTCCAACAGCTTGTCAGGTCCCAAATACCATTCGTCTCCATTCACTCCTATCTAACATGCTCATGCAAGCTTGCTGGAAGTCCAAGCCCCTTGCCCACAAAACCTCCTTTACCCCCTCTCTCTAACCTTTTCGAGGACAACCCCTACCCCGCCTTCCTTCCCCTACAGATTTATACTCTCTCCATGTCATTCTACTTTGATCCATTCTCTCTAAATGACCAAACCACCTCAACAACCCCTCTTCAGACCTCTGACTAATACTTTTATTAACTCCACACCTTCTCCTAATTTCCACACTCCGAATTTTCTGCATAATATTTACACCACACATTGCCCTTATACAGGACAAAAAAAAAAAAGTATGGCTTGAAAAATAGAACTAACCATTAACAGCCGCAAGTACAGCAGTGCGGCCCAACTCCTCTTGTTCTGTCATTTGCTTGTCCACAGTTTTTGGAACAAATATTCCATTTTGGCTCATCCAATCTCTATTTCCAATAAGCACCTGAAATACTGACATATATGAGTGAAACTTCTTAAGACACATTGAAAATTCTCAATACAGAACACAAGGAATTATAACTGATCAGCATATAATGATTCTCTTAAGATAAGAAATAAAATAAATATGGAATTATAAACGGGGAAGGCTTAAATAACCTTCTGCAGCTATAGACAGAAAAAATGAAGCTCTGAGAACTTACCAAATGATGTACGTGTAGTACCGTACTTGTAACTACGTGCAAACACTACGTATGGACTAATGAAGCACAAAACTCCTTTCTCTTGTATTTCATATCAAAGTTAACTCTAGCACAGGAGTTTAATACTTCACATAAAGATACCATAAAATCATGAGAAAAGATAAGAAGGGGGCAGATCACATTTTTACTGCAACTCTCTATTTACACAATCAGTATTACTGGAAATAGAGGAAGCATGTGTCTACGGATGTGCTTTTCTTTTTCCCGAAGTTATGTTCTAATAAACAGTAAGTTTATTAGTAACCCCTTCTCTTATATAAATTATTAAATATAAAAAGAAGAAAAGCTTTCGTTTCTTCTTTTTCAGGTCACCCTGCCTCGGTGAGAACCAGCTGGTATATTAAAAAAGTAACACTGGTAAATTAACAATTTAATTGCCCCTGAGAGTATAACCAGCCCTGTAGGATCCACACAAGATAATAAAGAAATAAAAGTATTACTAAATGTTATTATTTTTATGAGTACCTTCTAATATTTTTAATGTAATATCAATCTTATATTCCGAGACTAAATTTATAAAATAAATTTTTGAAGAGCACCTTGTAAGGTTCCTTGCACTGTTCATCATCTGTAGTACTACTGGCTAATGTTGATGAGATAAGAGGAGTGTTTTCAGTGTCCACTGACTTGCGTGGTGGTGCATGGGTACAGTCAATCAAAACATCACCAATAAGGAACATATCATCCCGCTTTTGTGGCGACTGATTCATCACGTCTGTCAGTCTGTAAATGTATCAAATGAAGTGTAATCAACATTTAGAAGATGATAGCACGTATGTAACCAAAATTTGATTAAACTGTAAATTATGCAGTTTTGCAATCACTTAACTTTAAAACTAACTTTTTTATTAAGATGATGACACATAATAATGTGCTGAAAGTTATAAGAATCTATCCAGTTCAGTTAATTAATAAATAAAAATGGAGTTTTGCAGGAATTTCAGTCTTGGAATGGGTAATATCCTATCAAAATTTGGTATGTAATTGTGTTGAGAGGGATACAGATTCAAATCCTGTACATCAAGCCCATGATCAACAAGTAGCAAAAAAAATAGAAAGACAAGATCAATACAGTATTACTCTAAATGGATGAGATAAACTAGTGATATACGTACTGATTTATACCATGGAGATATACTAATAGTCTGGAAGAAATGAGACAGAAACAATAACCAACAAGATGTGGAGGAGCAAGATGCTTCACTCAATAATGCATCCATCCCACTTCCAGTGAGGTGGATTAGAGGAAAATGGATAAGGGAATTCCCGTGGAAACAGGCAATCACCATGTCGACAATCTGCTATCTAGTGAAAGCAAAAGTAGAGAAAATGGGAGATAGCTTATCAAAGAGACTAGTGTACAGGAAATGTGACTATGAGGAATGAGGCAGTTTCAGACACAAGTACAGAGGAATGCTCAATGCAAATGACAGTTCACCCAAGAAATTATCAGTTTTTAACCAGAAGTGTAAGTAAGCAACACGAAATATGTATCATCCTACAAGTGAATAACAAGAGAGGCCAGGTCTACTAGCAACATATGAAAGCTAGAACCAGAACCAGAAAAGCATGGAAAAGCACACAGTGAACTGGGAATCACCACCCCTGTGGTCTGACCTCAGACCAGGCCTCCTAAATTGGAAAGAAATTTTTATAAGAATAAAAACTATCAGGAAACACTAAGTAAAAAAAATTTTTTTTCAACACACTAGACGTCTCCCTCTGAGATAGGATGACCCAAAAAAGAAACACATTCACCATCACTGTTGTCGCCAAAGGTGTGCTGATACTACAGTTCAAAACCGTAAATATCCCCACCCCTCCTTCAGAGTGCAGACACTGTACTTTCCCACCTTCAGGACTAAAGTCTGGCTAACCGGTTTCCCTGAATCCCTTCATAGATGCTACCTTGCTCACACTCCAAGAACATGTCAGGCCATAAAAAGCACCGCTTGCCTCCATCCACTTGTATCTAACATGCTCACACACGCCTGCTGGATATCCAAGCCCTTCGCATACAAAACCTCCATTAACCCTTCCTCAATCCTTTTCTTAGGTGACCCCTGCTCCACTTTCTCTCCACTAGAGATTTATACACTCTCCAAGCCATCCTATTTTGCTCCATCCTCTCAAAGTGTCCAAACCACCTCAACATCCCCTTCTCAGCCCTCTGGATAATACTTTTATTATCCCCGCACCTTTGAATCTCCAAACTACGAATGCCCTGCATAATATTCACACCACACACTGCCCTCAGACATGACATTTCCACTAACTCCAGCCTCCTTCTCATTGCAACATTCACAAACTATGCATTGGTACCACTATACACTCAAAAATTTCCCTCTTTGCCTTCATGGACAACGTTCTTTGTCTCCATAGATGCCTCAATGCTTCATCCACCTTTTTACCTCATCAGTTCTATGGTTCACCTCATCTTTCATAGGCCCGTCCACCGACAAGTTCACTCAGAAACATGTGAACACAATCACTTCTTCCATACTCCCTCTTTACAATCTGATATCCAATCTTTCAATACCTAAATTTTTTGTTACCCTTATCACCTTGCTCTTTCCTATGTTCACTTTTAACTTCCTTCTTTTACATACTCTCCCAAATTAATCCACTATCATTGCAACTTCTCTTCAGAATCTTTCAAAAGCAGTGTCATGGGCAAAATGCAACTGTGACAACTCCCATCTTGTATTAGATTCTATATATTTTAATTCCACACTCTCCCCAACACCCTAGCATTCACTTCCTTTACAACCGTAACTATAAATATGTTAAACAACAATGGTGACATCTCACATCGCTGTCTAAGGCCTACTTTTACTGTAAAATAATCTTTCTCTCTCCTACATACTCTAATCTGAGCCTCACTAGCCTCATAAAAACTCATAACTGCTTTCAGTAACTTACCATCTATCTGATTCTATTCCATACACTTGTAACAACTGCCACATTGCTCACCTATCCACCCTTTCATATGCCTTTTCCAAATATTGTTCATTTATATATTTCAATGTAAACACTTGATCTACACATACTCTACCCTTCCTAAAATCTCCTCATTCATCCATGGTCCTGCTTTCTGTGTTACCCTTAATTCTTTCAATAATAACTCTACCATACACTTTACCTGGTATTCTCAACAGGCTTTTTTTTTTTTTTTAACACACTGGCCATCTCCCCCATAATTCTTTCTCTTCTGCTTTGTAAAAACCTCTCGTATGCTAACTTTTTCTTCTTACCACTCCCTTTACCTCATCATTCCACCTATTGCTCCTCTTCTCTCTTGTACCAATCCTCCTATATCTACAAACTTCTGCTGCACACACTAACACAAAATAATGAAATGGATGATAAATATGTTAAAAAGATCATAATGGTTGTTTCCTGAACACAAGATGCCTTCTGTTATAGGGTCTGGGATATCTGCTGCTTGGAGAAACATTTGAACTGTCACATCTGCAAGCCTCTGACAAGACAGTAATAGTGTGAATAATAGTGAAAGAGATTCTTTTTCAGGTTACCTCACCCTGTCTCGGTGGGAGACGGCCAAAGTGTTAAAACAAAATAAAGTCTTAATTTGCTAATCTCATTGAATTTGTCAATTTCATTTATATTCAATAAATAAAAAAAATTCTTATGGCTGACTTCAAAATATTATGAAGCATTCTATTACTATCTTTGAAAAACAGTGATCTAAAACACTGTAATTGCAGTGATCAAAAAGTGATACAGAATAGTGATGCAAACAGGTACGCTTGCCAATTACTTACCCATACTCATTTATGTAATTGACAGTGAGATTTTTCACATTGAGAAGCATCTCTGAGGAAACAGCTGCCTGGACAAGGTGGTGTGTGCCAGATATTGTGCACTGCAAACCAAAGCCAGATACTGCCTTAAAGCCTTCACATTGAGCATTCAGGTTGCCCAGCACCTGACGACAGAACTTGGATATGGCTAGAGAGAAAAACGTTTTGTTGATTTTAATTATCAAAATAAAAAGAAGACATTACTAGAACTATTACTTATTTTACAAATAAATGAAAAAAAAGCTCGTAATTCTAAATTATATACTGCAAAATATACAATAATCAGTTTAGAAACTAAAGTTTCTTATATTAAATACCTAGAGTATTGTACCTGTAGATGGACTTCTACTTTGTTATAATTTTGCCATTAACTTTATATTTTTTGTATTATCATGAATACTCTGACACTTTCATTTTCTTTATCTTTGCTTGGATAGCATCAGTTCTGAGATATTTTATTCTATTTCATCACAAACTTAACTTTCTTGTCTTGTTTGTATAAAAAATCAGCACTAAATGGGTTCCTATGACTGGATGCTTCATAAGTGTAAAATGTTCACAAATAATGCACCTGTGGCAATAGGATGTTCACTGTTATGCTCTGCTACTCCAACAATAGCAAGAAATCGAGCGAGGGTGCACACTGTCTCGTCCACATAGAGAGAGAGCTTGGCTAATGTTGGCGTGCCGTGGGTAATGGTTCCGGTCTTGTCAAAAACTACAGTCTTCACCTAAAGAAAAGCAGTAATACTAAATAAGATGTACAAATGTGTGAAATGCAGTGGATACTAATGTTACTACAAAATCTTACTCTGAATCTTTTGTTTTAACCATTTAATATATATTTATAATGATAAATATAAATTGTGAGAGCAAGGGGCTAGTAACCCCTTCTCCTGTATATTATTGTTTTTTTATTATTAACACACTGGCCGATTCCCACCAAGGCAGGGTGGCCCGAAAAAGAAAAACTTTCACCATCATTCACTCCATCACTGTCTTGCCAGAAGGGTGCTTCACACTAGTTTTTAAACTGCAACATTAACACCCCTCCTTCAGAGTGCAGAGTGTATATACGTATTACTAAATTTAAAAGGAGGAACTTTCATTTTTTCTTTTGGGCCACTCCACTTCAGTGGGATACGGCAGGTACGTTGAAAGAAAGAAAAATAAATTGTGCCAGCCAGTTGCAGGTCAAAAAGTCATTTGAACCTTGGGTTGCTTCAAATTTAGACTGGATATATACATGAGTGAGAAGGGTTGAATTTGAGTGGGATTTGCACATGACTTAATAATAGGGTTATCAAAGATTATTCCTTAAGTAGCATTGAAAATGGGTTAGGCAAATATTTTAGTTATTGGGTTTGGGTTTGAGAAAGACCTGCCTAGCATGGGCCAATAAGCCTGCTAAAGTGTTCTTCCTTTATGTTCTTATGTTCACTCACTTATGGTAAGGCAACTACTGAAAGAATGATGATAAATGTGTTTTGTTGGATCACCATGCAGTGGTGGAAAAATGGCAAATGCAATAAAGAAAATTCCTAAAATCAAAGTTCAATTATTAATTTTAAAAATTTTCAATTCAACATTTTTAACTATGTACTAAGTTTAGGTCAATAAATCATGTCAGTACAACACTAGTGGTTCAGCAGCCTACCCACCCAATGGACCATACCAGGTAAACCTGACTGCCACTACCAAGGATGGATTGCTTTTGCACATGTGCTGTATTAACACAGCAGCATCCTTTCAAGTTTCAAATATTTAACCAATAATCTTTGGATGTCACATCATTATATATTTTAACACGCATGCCGTCCCCCACAAAGGCACGTGATTCAAAAAAGAAACACTTTCACCATCATTCATACATAATCACTGTCTTTGCAGAGGCATACAGATATGAGAGATCATTATTTTATTAATAGTACATTACAAACCATGGTCTATGAAAGATGAGGTAAATCATAGAATTGATAAGGGGAAAAGGGTGAGCGGCACACTTAGGAGTCTGTGGAGACAAAGAACTTTGTCCTTGGAGGCAAAGAGGGGAATGTATGAGAGTATAGTTTTACCAACACTATTATATGGGAGTGAAGCATGGGTGATGAATGTTGCAGCGAGGAGAAGGCTGGAGGCAGTGGAGATGTCATGTTTGAGGGCAATGTGTGGTGTGAATATAATGCAGAGAATTCGTAGCTTGGAAGTTAGGAGGAGGTGCGGGATTGCCAAAACTGTTGTCCAGAGGGCTGAGGAAGGGTTGTTGAGGTGGTTCGGACATGTAGAGAAAATGGAGCGAAAGAGAGTGACTTCAAGAGTGTATCAGTCTGTAGTGGAAGGAAGGCGGGGTAGGGGTCAGCCAAGGAAAGATTGGAGGGAGGGGGGTAAAGGAGGTTTTGTGTGCGAGGGGCTTGGACTTCCAGCGGGCATGCGTGAGCATGTTTGATAGGAGTGAATGGAGACAAATGGTTTTTAATACTTGACGTGCTGTTGGAGTGTGAGCAAAGTAAGATTTATGAAGGGATTCAGGGAAACCGGCAGGCCGGACTTAAGTCCTGGAGATGGGAAGTACAGTGCCTGCACTCTGAAGGAGGGGTGTTAATGTTGCAATTTAAAAACTGTAGTGTAAAGCACCATTCTGGCAAGACAGTGATGGAGTGAATGATGGTGAAAGTTTTTCTTTTTCGGGCCACCCTGCCTTGGTGGGAATCGGCCAGTGTGCTAATAAAAAAAAAAAAACATGGGCATATTGTTTGTACAGAAGTATTGATATTACATATGTATTTTCTTCAATTAGCATCAAAATAATTTGCTCTTTAGAGCACCTTTTTTTTTTTTTTTTGGGGGGGGGGGGAGTTTGATGAACTTATCAACAAACACTTCAGAAAAACAATCATCAGTAAAACAAAATACAGTAAAAAAAAATCCCAACTTACAAATGAGTAATGTTTTTGGTTTGCAATTTACAAACAAATTTGTATGTTATTTTTATATTCTCCCCTAAAATGCACCAAAGTTTGTATCAAAAACAATATTAAGGATGGTTATGTTTCACACATATGTATACTGATGATCAGTGGTTATAAAACATATGTTTTCTAACTCCCCATTAGTAAGTATGGATGTTCTAGTTTTGGTGTTCCCTAGTTAATTTATTATTATTTTTTTTTATTATCACACTGGCCGCTTCCCACCAAGGCAGGGTGGCCCGAAAAAGAAAAACTTTCACCATCATTCACTCCATCACTGTCTTGCCAGAAGGGTGCTTTACACTACAGTTTTTAAACTGCAACATTAACACCCCTCCTTCAGAGTGCAGGCACTGTACTTCCCATCTCCAGGACTCAAGTCTGGCCTGCCGGTTTCCCTGAACCCCTTCATAAATGTTACTTTGCTCACACTCCAACAGCACGTCAAGTATTAAAAACCATTTGTCTCCATTCACTCCTATCAAACACGCTCACGCATGCCTGCTGGAAGTCCAAGCCCCTCGCACACAAAACCTCCTTTACCCCCTCCCTCCAACCTTTCCTAGGCCGACCCCTATCCCGCCTTCCTTCCACTACAGACTGATACACTCTTGAAGTCACTCTGTTTCGCTCCATTCTCTCTACATGTCCAAACCACCTCAACAACCCTTCCTCAGCCCTCTGGACAAAAGTTTTGGTAATCCCGCACCTCCTCCTAACTTCCAAACTACGAATTCTCTGCATTATATTCACACCACACATTGCCCTCAGACATGACATCTCCACTGCCTCCAGCCTTCACCTCGCTGCAACATTCATCACCCATGCTTCACACCCACATAAGAGCGTTGGTAAAACTATACTCTCATACATTCCCCTCTTTGCCTCCAAGGACAAAGTTCTTTGTCTCCACAGACTCCTAAGTGCACCACTCACCCTTTTCCTCTCATCAATTCTATGATTCACCTCATCTTTCATAGACCCATCTGCTGACACGTCCACTCCCAAATATCTGAATACATTCACCTCCTCCATACTCTCTCCCTCCAATCTGATATCCAATCTTTCATCACATAATCTTTTTATCCTCATAACCTTACTCTTTCCTGCATTCACTTTTAATTTTCTTCTTTTGCACACCCTACCAAATTCATCCACCAATCTCTGCAACTTCTCTTCAGAATCTCCCAAGAGCACAGTGTCATCAGCAAAGAGCAACTGTGACAACTCCCACTTTATGTGTGATTCTTTATCTTTTAACTCCACGCCTCTTGCTAAGACCCTCGCATTTACTTCTCTTACAACCCCATCTATAAATATATTAAACAACCACGGTGACATCACACATCCTTGTCTAAGGCCTACTTTTACTGGGAAATAATTTCCCTCTTTCCTACATACTCTAACTTGAGCCTCACTATCCTCGTAAAAACTCTTCACTGCTTTCAGTAACCTACCTCCTACACCATACACCTGCAACATCTGCCACATTGCCCCCCTATCCACCCTGTCATACACCTTTTCCAAATCCATAAATGCCACAAAGACCTCTTTAGCCTTATCTAAATACTGTTCACTTATATGTTTCACTGTAAACACCTGGTCCACACACCCCCTACCTTTCCTAAAGCCTCCTTGTTCATCTGCTATCCTATTCTCCATCTTACTCTTAATTCTTTCAATAATAACTCTACCATACACTTTACCAGGTATACTCAACAGACTTATCCCCCTATAATTTCTGCACTCTTTTTTGTCCCCTTTGCCTTTATACAAAGGAACTATGCATGCTCTCTGCCAATCCCTAGGTACCTTACCCTCTTCCATACATTTATTAAATAATTGCACCAACCACTCCAAAACTATATCCCCACCTGCTTTTAACATTTCTATCTTTATCCCATCAATCCCGGCTGCCTTACCCCCTTTCATTTTACCTACTGCCTCACGAACTTCCCCCACACTCACAACTGGCTCTTCCTCACTCCTACAAGATGTTATTCCTCCTTGCCCTATACACGAAATCACAGCTTCCCTATCTTCATCAACATTTAACAATTCCTCAAAATATTCCCTCCATCTTCCCAATACCTCTAACTCTCCATTTAATAACTCTCCTCTCCTATTTTTAACTGACAAATCCATTTGTTCTCTAGGCTTCCTTAACTTGTTAATTTTTTTTTTTTTTTTCAACAAGTCGGCCGTCTCCCACCGAGGCAGGGTGACCCAAAAAAGAAAGAAAATCCCCAAAAAGAAAATACTTTCATCATCATTCAACACTTTCACCACACTCGCACATTATCACTGTTTTTGCAGAGGTGCTCAGAATACAACAGTCTAGAAGCATACACATATAAAGATACACAACATATCCCTCCAAACTGCCAATATCCCAAACCCCTCCTTTAAAGTGCAGGCACTGTACTTCCCATTTCCAGGACTCAAGTCCGACTATATGAAAATAACCGGTTTCCCTGAATCCCTTCACTAAATATTACCCTGCTCACACTCCAACAGATCGTCAGGTCCCAAGTACCATTCGTCTCCATTCACTCCTATCTAACACGCTCACGCACGCTTGCTGGAAGTCCAAGCCCCTTACCCACAAAACCTCCTTTACCCCCTCTCTCCAACCCTTTCGAGGACGACCCCTACCCCGCCTTCCTTCCCCTATAGATTTATATGCTTTCCATGTCATTCTACTGTGATCCATTCTCTCTAAATGACCAAACCACCTCAACAACCCCTCTTCTGCCCTCTGACTAATACTTTTATTAACTCCACACCTTCTCCTAATTTCCACACTCCGAATTTTCTGCATAATATTTACACCACACATTGCCCTTAAACAGGACATCTCCGCTGCCTCCAACCGTCTCCTCGCTGCTGCATTTACCACCCAAGCTTCACACCCATATAAGAGTGTTGGTACTACTATACTTTCATACATTCCCTTCTTTGCCTCCATAGATAACGTTTTTTGACTCCACATATACCTCAACGCACCACTCACCTTTTTTCCCTCATCAATTCTATGATTAACCTCATCCTTCATAAATCCATCCGCCGACACGTCAACTCCCAAGTATCTGAAAACATTCACTTCTTCCATACTCCTCCTCCCCAATTTAGTAATCTTTACAGGAAAAGGGGTTACTAGCCCATTGTTCCCGGCATTTTAGTTGACTTTTACAACATGCATGGCTTACGGAGGAAAGATTCTTATTCCACTTCCCCATGGATATAAAAGGAAAAGTAATAAGACCAAGAACTATTAAGATAAAATCAAAGAAAACTCAGATAGGTGTGTATAAATAAATGTGTACATGTATGTGTAGTGTGACCTAAGTGTAAGTAGAAGTAGCAAGACATGCCTGTAATCTTGCATATTTATGAGACAGACAAAAGACATCAGCAATCCTACCATCATGTAAAACAATCGCAGGCTTTCGTTTTACACTCACTTGGCAGGACGGTAGTACCTCCCTGGATGGTTGCTGTCTACCAACCTACTACCTACAACTTGTTAATCTCACTCCAAAACTTTTTCTTATTTTCAACAAAATTTGTTGATAACATCTCACCCACTCTCTCATTTGCTCTCTTTTTACATTGCTTCACCACTCTCTTAACCTCTCTCTTTTTCTCCATGTACTCTTCCCTCCTTGCATCACTTCTACTTTGTAAACACTTCTCATATGCTAACTTTTTCTCCCTTATTACTCTCTTTACATCATCATTCCACCAATCGCTCCTCTTCCCTCCCGCACCCACTTTCCTGTAACCACAAACTTCTGCTGAACACTCGAACACTACATTTTTAAACCTACCCCATATCTCTTCGATCCCATTGCCTATGCTCTCATTAGCCCATCTATCCTCCAATAGCTGTTTATACCTTACCCTAACTGCCTCCTCTTTTAGTTTATAAACCTTCACCTCTCTCTTCCCTGATGCTTCTATTCTCCTTGTATCCCATCTACCTTTTACTCTCAGTGTAGCTACAACTAAAAAGTGATCTGATATATCTGTGGCCCCTCTATAAACATGTACATCCTGAAGTCTACTCAACAGTCTTTTATCTACCAATACATAATCCAACAAACTACTGTCATTTCACCCTACATCATATCTTGTATACTTATTTATCCTCTTTTTCTTAAAATATGTATTACCTATAACTAAACCCCTTTCTATACAAAGTTCAATCAAAGGGCTCCCATTATCATTTACACCTGGCACTCCAAACTTTCCTACCACACCCTCTCTAAAAGTTTCTCCTACTTTAGCATTCAGGTCCCCTACCACAATTGCTCTCTCACTTGGTTCAAAGGCTCCTATACATTCACTAAACATCTCCCAAAATCTCTCTCTCTCCTCTACATTCCTCTCTTCTCCAGGTGCATACACGTTTATTATGACCCACTTTTCGCATCCAACCTTTACTTTAATCCACATAATTCTTTAATTTACACATTCATATTATCTTTTCTCCTTCCATAACTGATCCTTCAACATTACTGCTACCCCTAGTTGATGACCTACTTAAAAAGATTATGAATGTTATAGTGCAGCAAAGTGAAAAATCAACAATTTAATAAATTAATTCATAAAATGTAAATACCTTGTGGGCATTTTCTAAGGGTTCTGCTCCCTTAATAAGTATACCATTAGTAGCACCAACTCCAGTGCCCACCATCACTGCTGTTGGCGTGGCAAGCCCTAGAGCACACGGACATGCAATGGCAAGGACAGTGATGGCACACCGAAAAGCAAACTCCATAATTATTTCTGTCCGTGTAAATCCCTCAGTTATCTGTTGAAATTATGAAAAAGTATTATTACATTTTTCAACAATAGCACATTAACATAAGGTTAACAAGTATTTTTCAAATTCCATCAAGAATAAAAGAAATGCATTTCGAAAAAAGAACATTAAAAGTTACAAGTTGCAATACATACAATAAGACTGAAATACAAATTGCAGGGTAAAGTCACAAATTAGAAGAAAATGGCAAAAACTGCTTAATCATACAGCCTAAGAAGGTTTTCCTAACACAGGTCACATCCTTTGAGTACTTTATCAGCTCACCTTGGAAGAATATTCTGAATCAACAAGTGTTATGTTCACATAGCCAATAACAATCCAACAAATGAGTGTCACAGACGACACTGTGACCACCATCGGCACAAAGTAGCCAGCAATCTTGTCAGCAAGTTGTTGTATGGGAGCCTTCGATGTTTGTGCTTCTTCAACTAACTTAACAATCTGGACAAAAAAAAAAATTACAAATTTACTACACTAAGACCAGTATTAATGACAAATGAAAAGTTATTGTAACATACCAGCAGGTAAATAATAGGTAATTATTTACACTGCTGCAAAAGCACTAAATTTCAGTAAAATCTTCAACATTCATTACAACCATGGTAAACCCTAGTAATAATCTCTCTTTCAATTTAGTACTAAGAATCACATTTAAATACAAATTAAATACATATAGTAAAGGGAAACAAAGCTTATAAAATCCCCTTTTATGGTTAAGTGTCAAGAAATGGTACAAGAGAGACCTTGTAGATTTATAATAATAATAATAATAATTTTTTTTTTTTTTTTTTTTCAACAAGTCGGCCGTCTCCCACCGAGGCAGGGTGACCCAAAAAAGAAAGAAAATCCCCAAAAAAGAAAATACTTTCATCATCATTCAACACTTTCACCTCACTCACACATTATCACTGCTTTTGCAGAGGTGCTCAGGATACAACAGTTTAGAAGCATATATGTATAAAGATACACAACATATCCCTCCAAACTGCCAATAATAATAATAATAATAATAATAATAATAATATTAGTTGTAACAATAATACTGGTCGTAATAATAATACCAGTCATAATAATAAAACCGGTCGTAATAATAATACCGGTCGTAATAATAATACCGGTCGAAATAATAATACCGGTTGTAATAATAATACCGGTCGTAATAATAATACCGGTCGTAATAATAATACCGGTCGTAATAATAATACCGGTAGTAATAATAATACTGGTACAGTGGAACCTCAAAAATCGAACTTAATCCGTTCCAGAGTCACTGGACCCCTGTCTCACAAAATAACTGTCCACAGTCCTCTGTTTCTGGCGCCTCTTTAACATTTCCCTAAAATGGGACATGGTTCTGTCACTGAACTTGTTGCAAAGATGGCTTGTTTCAGCTTGTTCAGGGTGGTACTTCTGCACAAACATTTGGACATCATTCCACTTGGCACAAATCTCCTTAATCTTTGAAGAAGGCACCTCATCCACTCCCTATATAAACGCCTTTCGGAACATCAGCTTCCTTGATTTGTTCTTTCTTTGACAGGATAGAACCGATGGTCGACTTGTTTTTCCCATACATCCTGGCAAGCTCAACAAGTCTCACACCACTCTCATACTTCTGTATTATTTCCTTCTTCATATCTATGATGTTTCTCACTTTCTTTACCACAGGGGTACCACTAGCAAATTTCTTTGGGCCCATGGCAGCTTATTTCACAGTCCCACAAGCACTAAACACAACGAAATAATCGTAAAATGTGTGAATGAGAGCGCAGGTTAGTGTTCACTCAAGCATAAACAAAGCTAGACTACTCACGGCGCCTGCGCGGGGACGCGGACAGAGCGGGCCGGCAGACAGGTCCTGTACCCAGCGGTCCGAAATTAAGGGCACGTTTGATAATAGGGACACAAACCATACCCCCGGCCGGGATTGAACCCGCGGTCATGGAGTCTCAAAACTCCAGCCCGTCGCGTTAGCCACTAGACCAGCTAGCCACAATAAGATTCATCCAACTAGGTATATTTCTACATATATACCTAGTTGGATGAATCTTATTGTGGCTAGCTGGTCTAGTGGCTAACGCGACGGGCTGGAGTTTTGAGACTCCATGACCGCGGGTTCAATCCCGGCCGGGGGTATGGTTCTTTTGCAATCGTGTCATTACGATTTCTTGAGTCAATAGGGACACAGTTTGTCCGAAAAAATGGTCCTATTTTCGAAACGTTCGATATGTGATACGTTCGATTTTTGAGGTTCCACTGTAGTAATAATAATACCAGTAGTAATAACAATACCAGTAATAATAATACCAGTAGTAATGATAATACTGGTCATAATAATAATAATAGTCATATCCAACTTACACCCTCTCTCAAAAATCTTCGAAAAATTAATTCATAAACGAATCTACTCCTACCTTATCTCCCAAAACATACTCAACCCCTGCCAATTTGGATTCAGGCCTAATAAAAATACTAATGATGCTATTATACACATGCTAGAACATATATACACTGCAATAGAGAAAAAAGAAGTCCCACTGGGGATCTTCATTGACTTACGTAAAGCTTTTGATACAGTTGACCATGACTTGCTCCACGTAAAATTGTCACACTATGGTATAAGAGGGCACTCCCTCAACTACCTCAAGTCATACCTCAGCAACAGAAGCCAATATGTGTACGCAAATGGGGCAAACCAATTACAGTTGGTGTCCCACAGGGAAGTGTCCTTGGCCCTCTTCTCTTTCTCCTATACATAAATGACCTTCCAAATGCTTCGCAATTACTCAAACCCACACTATTTGCAGATGACACTACATACGTCTTCTCTCACCCGAGCCCAGTCACGCTAGCCAATACTGTAAATACCGAATTACAGAAAATATCTACCTGGATGAGGACTAACAAACTTACACTAAACATTCACAAAACCTACTTCATTCAGTTTGGTAACAGAGCTACAGATGTCCCTCTTAACATAATGATAAACGGATCACCTATCACAAAGCTAACAGAGGGAAAATTCTTAGGAATCCACCTTGATAATAGACTCAAATTTCATACACATATACAACAAATTTCTAAGAAAATTTCCAAGACTGTAGGCATACTATCGAAGATACGGTACTATGTTCCACAGTCAGCCCTCCTGGCCCTATATCACTCTCTTATTTACCCCTATCTCACCTATGGAATTTGTGCATGGGGCTCAACAACAATTAACCATCTCAGACCACTAATTACCCAACAAAAGGCTGCAGTTAGAATGATAACAAATTCTCACTACAGGCAGCACACTCCACCAATATTCAATACACTAAACCTACTCACCATACAAAACATCCATACTTATTACTGCACCTATTACATACATAGAACACTTAACTCTGATATTAACCCTCCCCTCAAACATCTCCTTGCCAACCTCAACAGAACACATGACCATAACACAAGGCACAGATCACTCTTTGATGTTCCTCGTGTCCATCTCACACTATGCAAAAACTCAATGCACATAAAAGGCCCTAAAATCTGGAATTCATTACCTGTAAATATAAAAGGAACACTACCTGTTTATAAATTCAAGTATCTTCTCAAAGATCACTTACTCACCCAAAACCAAATAAATACTGAATAACTGAACCTTATAAATTGTATATCTTAATGTTTCTCACAATTATATCACATAAATGTTAAACCTAAAACCGAATCTAACTTTATTATTTTTTAAATACACTACCTAACAGAATACTTCATACGACTGAATGTACAGCAATGCATGCAACCATATGACCTGTCTTTGTAATACTCACTTGTGCTTTATAGTAATCTGTTTACATTAATGTTTTATCACTGATTTCATCATTGCTTAGTTAATCTTAAGTTAATTTTAAGCCAGCCCGTAATGCTATGCATAGTATAAGTGGCTTTGGCATGCTGCTCTTATCTGTATTTTTTTGTACCTCTGTATGTGTGCTCAAATTGTTAATAAATAAATAAATAAATAAATAAATAATAATAATAATACAGTATGTACTAGTCATAAAAACAGTCATAATAATAAATACAATGCCTGTGCTCTAAAGTAGGGGTTTGAGATATTTGCTGTTTAGTGACATTGTAACTGTCATATTTGTGTGCCTTTGGCAAGGCAGTGATAGTATGAATGATGGAGAAAGTGTTTCTTTTTCAGGTCACCTTACCTTAGTGGGAGACGACCAGCATGGCTTAAAAAAAATAATAAAATGATATCACCTAGTTACTTATCATAAGAGGAAGAACTATCCCAGTTAAATACCACTACAGAACTGTATTTAATTAAATGACTAAATAGATTAAGATGACAAGTGACCAGACCAGACAAGGCTGGGTTTAACAGATAGAATAATTTTACCATGAATTAATGGTTCTCTGTCTTATATCTATATTCTCATAATATTCATGTTTCATACTCTATCTTTCACCATAACTATTCAGCCCAACTAGTTTTAACTAAAACATATTACAGTAAACCTAGATGTCTCACATACTAATAAAATTTTTCATTTCATTCCACTCTAAAAACATTTACTTGCACCACTGTTCTGTTGGACTGAACAGACAAGGTTACTTGACTAATTTACCTACTGAACAATGAGCTGAGTCTACTAAAACAACAAAAGCAGTATTATTGTTATCATGGGAAGGCACTAAACCCATAGGGATTATACAGCACCTGTGGGAAGGGGGGAGTATGGAAGGCATTCAGGATGAATTCAGGGAACTGGAGCACAGATCCAATTCCCTAGATCAAGAGCCCCTCACCAGTATCAAGGAATCTCCTTTGAGGGGAACAATATTAGTAGCATAAATCATATACAATGATAAATCACATACATTGATAAACCATATACACTGACTCTACAACTTTGCTTATAATGCTGGGGGGTAACTTTGGTAATACTGTACCGTACAGTGGAACCTCAGTTTTTGTTTGCCCTGGTTTTTGTCGAATTCAGTTTTCGACGACTTTTTACGTCAAAATATTGTGCCAGTTTTCCTTCATCACCTCAGTTTTTGTCCACCGTACCGAACGTGCCCGTCTGCCCGCGCCAACACAAAGCATCCCACACAAGCATTCTGAGTCAGTCTGGCTTTGTTTTTCATCGAGTGAACATTACCCTGCGCATTCATACGAAACATTTCGTAATAATCCATTGTTTTTTGTGCTTGTTTATTGAGTGCAACTGCTAAATAAGCCACCATGGGGCCAAAGAAAGTTCTGAGCGCCAGCCCTTTGATAAAAAAAGCGAGAAACACGATAGAATTCAATGGTGGAAGAGGATGGTAGTGGTTGTGATGGTGGAAGAGAGTGGTAGTGATGGTGGCAGAGGGTGGTAGTGATGGTGGCAGAGGGTGGTAGTGATGGTGGCAGAGGGTGGTAGTGATGGTGGTAGAGGGTGGTAGTGGTGGTAGAAATGACCTCTCCTCCCTCTCCCCTCCTCGCCGTCTTCCACACGCCAACAAGTTTTAAATAAAGGTAAAAGTGATTTAAATGTTCATTTATCCATTTCATCAGTGCCTTATTTTTATTTCTCATTGTCTTCTGTATGTAAAACTATAGTTATTCTCTATAAAATGTATTTTTTGTTAATGCTTTTGGGTGTCTGGAATGGATTAATTGGATTTACTGTACATTATTTCTTACGGGAAATATTGCTTCAGTTTTCATCAAATTCAGTTTTCGTCAGACTCTCTGGAACGAATTAAAGAGGAAAACCGAGGATTCCACCGTATATACATACGTTAACTGGGAGATTCTTTATACACTTTCCCTAAGCAAACTGTACCTGTGAAAGTGTTGTATCACTTCCAATGTGAGTTGCTTTGATCATAAGAAGACCATTCTGGTTGATTGAACCACCAATAACCTGGGAGCCAGGTTTCTTGTTCACCGGCATTGACTCCCCAGTAATGAGTGACTCATCTGCCATGCTTTGCCCAGAAATGACACGGCCATCCACAGGAACCTTTTCTCCTGGTTTTACCTGAGGATAATATTTACATATCATTGAAATGCTAAAAATTTACTAGCAATTAAAATATTAAATTAAATGGTCAGAGAATTTTAAACTAAATTACAATTTTAATAATTTACAATGTTTCCCTCTACCATAATCCATTACTAATGAGTGTGGATACATTATCATTATATATATGGGAAGCACTAAACCCATATGGGTCATACAATGCCTGGAAAATGGGAGGCAATCAAGTGCAATCCAATGAAGTGGAGATCTGGTCCAACATCCAGGAGCAAGGAGAGTGAATGCAATGTCCTCTAAATCACACTACCTGTTAGTTTATAGGGTCATGTTAATGATGTAATCAAACAAGAAACAAAGATACATACAAAAAGTCATTATACATAAGTGTGATTACCTCTATTAGACTGTGGGAAAGAGATGTACATTCACCATCACTCATCCTCTAGCTGTCTTTCATGAAAATCACAGACACCATAATTTCAAAAATCCACTTGAATGCAGCATCCCTACCTATCCTACAGGTATCAAATTTTTCATTACAGTCCAATAATACCCATTTCATTCAACCTTGCCTTTTCTGTCTTAATGCTTATTCATCTATCTCGCATTTCTATAAAGGGTGAAAGACATAAATTTCCATTTCTGAATCCATGTTGGTGTTCTGTAAGGAATAGTGAACTTTTAACATATTCAACAAAGCTTAAAAATATATTTCTGTTAATCATATTGGTCTCAATTCAATGAAGTTCTGATTACAACTTCCATTTTTAAGCTTAAATACTTATTTGCTTTTTTGAACTGAAATATTAAAATATTACCTTCAGCATATCTCCCCTCTGAATCAGCTGCACATCAATGACCTTCTCGGAAACAGTCTCATTATTTTCGTTGAGGGTCACCAGCGTTGCCTCTGTTGCTTGTAAAGACATCAGTTTTGCCAGAGCTTCGGAAGTTTTGCCCTATGTAGAGACATGGGAATAAATGCTCAACAGTAAGCAGAACAGATTAAGCTTGAGGAATGATATACTTTTTATAGCTGGGAAGGAATACGAACAGGACTCTAATACAGAAAGATAAGCTCAGGCAGGAAGATCCAAATACAAGCTACATTGTCTTGCTTACTGAATTAGTAAAACTCATCAAATACATATTTTCTGGATTTTTTTTTTCAACAAATCAGCCGTATCCCACCAAGGCAAGGTGGCCCAAGAAGAAAAACGAAAGTTTCTTTTTAAATTTAGTAATTTATATAAGAGAAGGGGTTACTAGGCCCTTGCTCCCGGCATTTTAGTAGCCTCTTACAACATGCATGGCTGATGGAGGAAGAATTCTGTTCAACTTACCCATGGAGATAAGAGGAAATAAACAAGAACAAGAACTAGAAAGAAAATAGAAGAAAACCACCCAGGGAGGTACTACCGTCCTGCCAAGTGAGTGTAAAACGAAAGCCTGTGATTGTTTTACATGATGGTAGGATTGCTGATGTCTTTTGTCTGTCTCATAAATATGCAAGATTACAGGCATGTCTTGCTACTTCTACTTACACTTAGGTCACACTACACATACATATACACATTTATTCATACACACTCATCTGAGTTTTCTTTGATTTTATCTTAATAGTTCTTGGTCTTATTAATTTTCCTTTTATATCCATGGGGAAGTGGAATAAGAATCTTTCCTCCGTAAGCCATGCGTGTTGTAAAAGTCAACTAAAATGCCGGGAACAATGGGCTAGTAACCCCTTTTCCTGTAAAGATTACTAAAAAGAATAAGAAGAAGAAAATTGTCAAAGTGGGAAGTCTGAATGTGCGTGGATGTTGTGCAGATGATAAGAAAGAGATGATTGTGGATGTTATGAATGAGAAGAAGCTGGATGTCCTGGCTTTAAGTGAAACAAAGCTGAAGGGGTGGGAGAGTTTCAGTGGAGAGGAATAAATGGGATTAGGTCAGGGGTTTCAAATAGAGTTAGAGCTAAAGAAGGAGTAGCAATAATGTTGAAGGATAAGCTATGGCAGGAAAAGAGGGACTATAAATGTATTAATTCAAGATTATGTGGAGTAAAATAAAGATTGGATGTGAAAAGTGGGTTATAATAAGCGTGTATGCACCTGGAGAAGAGAGAAGTGTAGAGGAGAGAGAGAGATTTTGGGAAATGTTGAGTGAATGCGTGGGGAGTTTTGAATCAAGTGTGAGAGTAATGGTGGTTGGGGATTTCAATGCTAAAGTGGGTAAAAATGTTATGGAGGGAGTAGTAGGTAAATTTGGGTGCCAGGGGTAAATGTAAATGGGGAGCCTTTAATTGAGCTATGTGTAGAAAGAAATTTGGTAATAAGTAATACATATTTTATGAAAAAGAGGATAAATAAATATACAAGGTATGATGTAGCACGTAATGAAAGTAGTTTATTAGATTATGTATTGGTGGATAAAAGGTTGATGGGTAGGCTCCAGGATGTACATGTTTAAAGAGGGGCAACTGATATATCGGATCATTATTTAGTTGTAGCTACAGTTAGAGTAAGAGGTAGATGGGAAAAGAGGAAGGTGGCAACAACAAGTAAGAGGGAGGTGAAAGTGTAAAACTAAGGGAGGAGGAAGTTCGGGTGAGATATAAGCGACTATTGGCAGAAAGGTGGGATAGTGCAAAGATGAGTAATGGGGGGGTTGAAGAGGGTTGGAATAGTTTTAAAAATGCAGTATTAGAATGTGGGGCAGAAGTTTGTGGTTATAGGAGGGTGGGTGCAGGAGGAAAGAGGAGTGATTGGTGGAATGATGAAGTAAAGGGTGTGATAAAAGAGAAAAAGGTAGCTTATGAGAGGTTTTTACAAAGCAGAAGTGTTATAAGAAGAGCAGAATATATGAGAGTAAAAGAAAGGTAAAGAGAGTGGTGAGAGAGTGCAAAAGGAGAGCAGATGATAGAGTGGGAGAGGCACTGTCAAGAAATTTTAATGAAAATAAGAAAAAATTTTGGAGTGAGTTAAACAAGTTAAGAAAGCCAAGGAAAATATGGATTTGTCAGTTAAAAACAGAGTAGGGGAGTTAGTAGATGGGGAGATGGAGGTATTAGGTAGATGGCGAGAATATTTTGAGGAACTTTTAAATGTTAAGGAAGAAACAGAGGCAGTAATTTCATGCACTGGTCAGGGAGGTATACCATCTTTTAGGAGTGAAGAGAGCAGAATGTAAGTGTGGGGGAGGTACGTGAGGCATTACGTAAAATGAAGGGGGTAAAGCAGCTGGTACTGATGGGATCATGACAGAAATGTTAAAAGCAGGGGGGGATATAGTGTTGGAGTGGTTGGTACTTTTGTTCAATAAATGTATGAAAGAGGGGAAGGTACCTAGGGATTGGCGGAGAGCATGTATAGTCCCTTTATATAAAGGGAAAGGGGACAAAAGAGATTGTAAAAATTATAGAGGAATAAGCTTACTGAGTATACCAGGAAAAGTGTACGGTAGGGTTATAATTGAAAGAATTAGAGGTAAGACAGAATGTAGGATTGCGGATGAGCAAGGAGGTTTCAGAGTGGGTAGGGATGTGTAGATCAAGTGTTTACATTGAAGCATATATGTGAACAGTATTTAGATAAAGGTAGGGAAGTTTTTATTGCATTTATGGATTTAGAAAAGGCATATGATAGAGTGGATAGAGGAGCAATGTGGCAGATGTTGCAAGTATATGGAATAGGTGGTAAGTTATTAAATGCTGTAAAGAGTTTTTTATGAAGATAGTGAGGCTCAGGTTAGGGTGTGTAGAAGAGAGGGAGACTATTTCCCGGTAAAAGTAGGTCTTAGACAGGGATGTGTAATGTCACCATGGTTGTTTAATATATTTATAGATGGGTTGTTAAGGAAGTAAATGCTAGGGTGTTTGGGAGAGGGGTGGGATTAAATTATGGGGAATCAAATTCAAAATGGGAATTGACACAGTTACTTTTTGCTGATGATACTGTGCTTATGGGAGATTCTAAAGAAAAATTGCAAAGGTTAGTGGATGAGTTTTGGGAGTGTGTGTAAAGGTAGAAAGTTGAAGGTGAACATAGAAAAGAGTAAGGTGATGAGGGTGTCAAATGATTTAGATAAAGAAAAATTGGATATCAAATGGGGGGAGGAAGTATGGAAGAAGTGAATGTTTTCAGATACTTGGGAGTTGACGTGTCGGCGGATGGATTTATGAAGGATGAGGTTAATCATAGAATTGATGAGGGAAAAAAGGTGAGTGGTGCGTTGAGGTATATGTGGAGTCAAAAAATGTTATCTATGGAGGCAAAGAAGGGGAAAGTATGAAAGTATAGTAGTACCAACCACTCTTATATGGGTGTGAAGCTTGGGTGGTAAATGCAGCAGCGAGGAGACGGTTGGAGGCAGTGGAAGATGTCCTGTTTAAGGGCAATGTGTGGTGTAAATATTATGCAGAAAAATTCGGAGTGTGGAAATTAGGAGAAGGTGTGGAGTTAATAAAAGTATTAGTCAGAGGGCAGAAGAGGGTTGTTGAGGTGGTTTGGTCATTTAGAGAGAATGGATCAAAGTAGAATGACATGGAAAGCATATAAATCTATAGGGGAAGGAAGGCGGGGTAGGGGTCGTCCTCGAAAGGGTTGGAGAGAGGGGGTAAAAGAGGTTTTGTGGGTAAGGGCTTGGACTTCCAGCAAGCGTGCGTGAGCGTGTTAGATAGGAGTGAATGGAGACGAATGGTACTTGGGACCTGACGATCTGTTGGAGTGTGAGCAGGGTAATATTTAGTGAAGGGATTCAGGGAAACCGGTTATTTTCATATAGTCGGACTTGAGTCCTGGAAATGGGAAGTACAATGCCTGCACTTTAAAGGAGGGGTTTTGGGATATTGGCAGTTTGGAGGGATATGTTTGTGTATCTTTATATGTGTATGCTTCTAGACTGTTGTATTCTGAGCACCTCTGCAAAAACAGTGATAATGTGCGAGTGTGGTGAAAGTGTTGAATGATGATGAAAGTATTTTCTTTTTGGGGATTTTCTTTCTTTTTTGGGTCACCCTGCCTCGGTGGGAGACGGCCGACTTGTTGAAAAAAAAAAAAAAAAAAAAAAAATGTATGTGTAGTGTGACCTAAGTGTAAGTAGAAGAAGCAAGACTTACCTGAAATCTTGCATGTTTAAGAGACAGAAAAAAGACACCAGCAATCCTACCATCATATAAAACAATTACAGGATTCCGTTTTACACTCACTTGGCAGGACGGTAGTACCTCCCTGGCCGGTTGCTGTCTACCAACCTACTACCTACAATTTTCTGGAAATATAATGCTTATATGTTTATATATATACATTTTTTAAATTTTCTTCATAATTTCTTACAATTACATATACATAGTACTACATTTTTTATTTGTTTTGAATCCCCTGAAAATCTGTAGGTTTGCAAGTTTCCCACATTGGTTGTAAGTGCAATTATTTAGTTTTTCATGGTTCTCCAGTATCTTCTGTTAAACCATTTCATGGTTCACACCTTATTATCTGTTAAGAATGAACAGTCTTATTTCATTTCCAATTATGTTATAGAACTCTTTTCCTAATTCATATTCAGTAGATTTGTCTCTTATTACATTTTATTCCATTTCGTGTTCAAGTGCATGTTCTGTAAGTCAAGAAACACATTTTGTTTCACTAATTGCTGAAACTACTAACGAAAATTAAGTAAAATTTCTAATGATTATCCAGGACAACATATAAGCAAGCTTAACTTGTAAATCATCAGGTAATTTGCAATCCTCCAAACATCTGCCTTTTTATTCCTGTTGTAAAATAGCATATACAGTATCAAAACATGCAGAACTTCTTTCAACAAACCAGCCATATCCCACTGAAACTGGGTGGCCCAAAAAGAAAAACAAAAGTTTCCCTTTTCAACTTTAGTAATGTATACAGGAGAAGGGGTTATTAGCCCCTTGTTCCCGGCATTTTAACCCTTTGACTGTCACAACCCCCAATCCTGAGGTGTCTCCTGGTGTCGCAAAATTTAAAAAAAAAAAAAAAATTATTTTTTCTTATAAAATGATAGAGAATCTTTTCCCAATTGTAATGACACCAAAAACACGAAATTTGATGGAAAACTGATGGAATTACGCTCTCGCGAAGTTAGCGACCTCAGCGATATTTACAAATCAGCGATTTCGCTCACTTTGAGCCCTATTTTCGGCTAATTCCATCGTTCCAGTCGACCAAACTCATAGCTATTTCTTTAGAACTCCGTTTTTTTCTATCGATTGAGTACAAGAAACTGCCCCTTTACCAATTTCAGCTACCCAATAATGTGGTCAGAAATTTGCAATTTGGCCAATTTCACGAAAATTAAAAAATATGACAATTTCAAAATAAGGTCCAGAATGAACAATGCAGATATTCCTGACTCTAAAATAACATTTTCTTTGTTCATCAGTCATGTCTCCAGGCCCCTCTGATATTACTCTTGCTTTCTATTTTGAATTTTTATTCCAACAAAAAATAGAAGATTTACTGTTAGGGAACTACTGCAATACTGTAATTTGTTAAAAAAACATCAACCCATTATACTGCACTTAGAATGATACTGGGATTTATTGAACAATGACATCATTTGTTACTTTGTTTCGGCAAAATAAAACATTTCCCCTACTTTGAGCTCCTTTTTCCCGGTTTCCCTTTTTTTATAGTAAATCAATCAAATAACCTCTATTTCTATAATTTTTTTTTCCAAAATTCTATCAAATGAACCAAGAAAAAAAGAATCAACCATAAATACTATACAAATAGACCACAAAGTCGGCATTTAATAAAAAAAGGGACAGATTTTTTTTTTCCTCTTTAGGTACTGCGTGCTCCGGTTTTTTTTTTTATATGGTGCACAATGACCACAAAGCCCCATTCCTCACATGGGGCCTACCATTTTTTCTCCTGCTTGACTGAAGCCGCTAGAATTTAGGGTATATTCGTAAAACACGGTACCTCAAAAGACGTTATATACGACCACGACGAAAAGGGATTAATCCCTCTTACGCATGCAGGCTTCAGGGAAGAATTCTGTTCCACTTCCCCATGGAAAAAGGGGTAATAAACGGGGACAAAACAGTAAGAAATTAGAAAAAAAACCCAGGGGGGGTGTTTATAAGGGGACCCCCGCATCCCGTTGGCATCACATAACTTAAAATTCGCATACCGATACATTTTTGCTAAGTTTTTTGCCTGCATACCCCTAAAAAACCCCCTCCAAAGCTATTCGTCCCAGACGCTCTAATGGCGGCCCGAGCCAGCCCCCCTGTTCCGCCGGTGGCATTTTTTACCAGCCGCCTCCGCGGGAACATCCAAGCACACAATCGGAAAATTTTATATTATACGTTTTTTTGGGTGATTTTACTGCAAAATAAGGGCCATTGCCCCAAAAAAGCTTTTAGTGCCCAAAACCCCACAGAAAAGGGGGAGAATTACTATGAGATGAAGAAAAATCATTTCTAAGTATGAAAGTGGAGTGCGTGTTCCGAGCTGGCCAGGTTGTAACAAACCCCAATCAACCATCGCTAATATTGGTCCAACAAAAAGGCAAATCAAGGAAGCGTTCTTGCCAAAGGTTCAAACTGTGTTTTCGAAACAGAGATCACAAATTGGGAAAGTTGAGAACTTTATTTTGTGGATAAAAGAAAAAAAGATAGCAGGGATAGCATCTCTCGTGATCATAAGGAAAAGGTTAGGAATTGCATGGGATTTAATTAATTGCATTTGGTGGATTAAAAAACCCAAAAGCCAAATTTCTGGACCAGGTCTGCAGCCCGTCCAGATCCCTTTTTAGTTTGCTGGTCTTCGATCGAGTGGGAAATTTTTCTCATCAACTCACGTCATCTGCAAACAGGGGACACCTCAGAAATGCCCGCAACTAGTAGAAGTGAATTTTAAGGCCAGAAAAAGGGTTTATTTGAGAGATTTAAGAAGCTATGGGTACATAGTGTGATAAGGGTGGGAGGCTGCCAGTTGGACCACAAAGCAGCTGAAAAATATTGCAGGAATTTAAAGGGGTACATAGCAGTGAAGGACTGAAAAACCCGAACAAGTGTTTAATTGTGAGAAACGGCCTGTTTTGGAAAAAATGCCAAGCAGGACCAATTTACTCGGAGGGGAAAAGCACTCCCAGGAAAAGCCTATGAAAGACGGCTTACTCTGTTTTATGTTTCCAATGCTAGTGGGGATTGCAAAATGAAGCCTTTTATTATGTATCACCAGAAAAAACCCCCGAGGTTCAGGCAAAAGAATATCCTCAAGGCTAATTTGTTGCTGTGGAGGGGAAACAGTAAGGCATGGGTCACTAGGGATTTTTTCTATGACGGTTAAACCCCAAAATTGCCCCCAATGTGAAAGATTACCTAACGAAAAAAAATTAGACCTTAAATTGAAAGATTACCTAACTGAAAAGAAAATTAGACCTTAAGTGCCTCCTGGTGTTAGACAACCCCCCGGGTCATCCTACAGACGTGGCAAGGGACTTTATGGGGACAGATTCATTAAGGTGAAGTTTTTCCTCCTAATACCATCCTCTCCTGCACCCCAAAGGACCAGCATTATTGCAAACTTCAAAAAACGTACACAAAAGCTCTGTTTGAAAGGTGTTTTGTAGTACCTCAAAACTCAATTGACCAAGAGAGCTTTGGAGAGCACTTTAATATCCTCAATTGTGTAAACCTTTTAAAGGTAAGGCTGGGAGGAAGTGACTAAGAGGACCTTGAACTCTGCTTGGAGGAATTGTGGCCACAATGTAGACCAAAGGATTTTGAAGGGTTTGAGGGTAACCCTGGGGAAACCATGCCAGTTGAGGAATCCATTTTGGCATTGGGAAAACCTTGGGGTTTGGAGGGTTTGGGGAAGATGTGGGAAATTTGGTTGAGGGGGACAATGAAGAACAACCACGATGCTGCTAATCATCTTCATCAGCATAGGCCCAACCTGAGGGAAAATGCTTCGGGGGAGGGGGGTGAGAAATGAAGAATTGCCTACTTTTTAAAGATTAAGGAAAAATGTGCAATGTGCTTTAAATGCAAACCTTTTTTTATGACAATCACCCAACACAGCTATTGCAACCGTGCTGGGGACTATTTCATTGACAAAGTTGTGAACCATTTAGAAATCATAAAGGAAGGGAGGGACAGGGCCCTATGGGCAGATATTTTGTGCGCAGAATCCAGGACTCTGAAGCTGGTCCCAGTGGCATTAAAAGAAGAAGGGGAAATAACCCCGGAAAAGGACTTGACACCCAAGTCTTTAAAGGAAGGGGGTTCCCCCTTTTAAAAAACTAAACTCTCCCTCCTCCCTCCTACAATCATCACCAGATCTTCAATAAAGGTAAGTGTCATGTAACTGTGCATGTCTTTTTCAGTTTGTGTGTATTAAAATTAATATTTCATGTGGTAGAAATTTTTTTTTTCATACTTTGGGGTGTCTTGCACGGATTAATTTGATTTCCATTATTTCTTATGGGGAAAATTCATTCGCATAACGATAATTTCGCATAACAATGAGCTTTCAGGAACGGATTAATATCGTTATGCGGGGGTTCACTGTATATGCTTGTATATGTATGTGTAGTGTGACCTAAGTGTAAGTAGAAGTAGCAAGACATACCTGAAACCTTGCATGTTTATGAGACAGAAAAAAGACACCAGCAATCCTACCATCATGTAAAACAATTACAGGCTTCCATTTTACACTCACTTGGCAGGACGGTAGTACCTCCCTGGGTGGTTTCTGTCTACCAGAAATAAAACTATAGTTAACATAAATAGTACACTAGACTTCCACATAATCTGACCTTGGCAATGTGCTCCAACCACCTTCCAAGAGAAACAAACACCAGCAACATTGGAGGAGTATCGAAGAATGTTAATGGGCTAGCTGACTGCTGCAAAATCATGGCAGCGAGTACTACTCCCAACGAATATATATACGAGATTGTTGTTGCCAGCATAATAAGCACATCCATATTTGCAGTCTTGTGCCGCAGAGCCTTAAAGGCTTGTACATAGAAGTGACGGCCACCAATGAACTGAAAGTCAAACAGGGCAAAATTATTCTCTGAATTCTGAGTACAGCATTTGTTTTAATGAGGCATTCAATATAACAGATGCTAATAAAAAGCAGTATCTATTGTATTTATAAAAGAAAAAGGTACCCTAAAAAGCTAAAAAAAAAAAAAAAAAGACACTGCCTTAAATAAAATATTGTAAATTAAATTATAATAAAAAAAGTACTAAGGATTTCCTTCTGAATAAATATTATATGTAATTCATTCTTATACTATCCATCAAAACAGTACTCAAATAGACCACAAGTTAAGACATTAACCTGAACTGGAGTGGACAGAAGGAAAAGAAGCAAGTTCTCAAGGGAAAGGCCAGGTAATACACAACACATCTCTTGATGTGACATGTGCTCCATCATAGCCATGAAGTAAACCATCACCAACATAGCTGGCACACCTGAAAAACAAAGACAACAAATATATAACTGGTATCTCTGAAAAGCAGACACCATTTTCCTGTATGCAACTGGCACCCCTGAAAAATAAAAACAAATATAGCCTGAACTCTAGTTTTATCATGTGGGTACTTTACTAGTGCAATGAACTACTTTTCCAACAAATTTTCCAAATGTAGAAGGTAGTATTAAAAGTTAGATATGATATATTTTATTCTTAACCTGTATATTACAATGTAGCTAATGTGACAATACATAAAGGATAATGCTGCGACAATGTTTACTTACCAAACAAGAGAGATACAATGAATGAATTCCTCCATTTATTTATCTCTTTTCTATGATCCAGATAGCTGCCCTTATTTACTCCACTTGTGTACAGAGCGGCAGTGAAGCCAAGATTCTGTAAATGACAGTATTTGAACAACAACTTCATTTAAATATAGAATGATAAAAATTAGAAGTTACTGAGTAAAGATTTGAATATAGCATTTTAAAATAAATTAAGAACAGAAAATAAGCTATATCACTGATGTGAAATGCTATTATAAATTACACAATGAGGCAACAAAGAAGAGCTCCTGCAGTGAAACAGAATAACTCACATTAATGCAGTCAATAATATCTCGAGGGCCAGTGACTGCAGGGTCAAAATGAAACTTGCCACGCTCAGTTGCTAGAGCCACAACAGCTGATTTCACACCTTTCAACTTCTTCACATTTGATTCAATGGCATAAACACATGAGGAACAAGTCATCCCTGTTATCTGTGAATTTTAAATACCATAAACACAAAATATTAATATCAGAATTTCATCAAGATACAGTGCACTCTATTAATGTAAAACTTTGTAATCCATTCAAATGAAATTTATTAATTTTTATTAAGGAAAACATGTACTGTACTAGGTAAAAAGTAGATCCTTAAAATGAGGAAAAGGAAAAAAAGAGTAGACTGCCAGACACAAAGAAATGAGTTTATGGGTTTACAAATCACTAGATAACGATATACACTGTAAACTTGAAAGGTTGTAGCACCCAGAAGCTCACAAAGTAATAGTTATAAAATATATAAGAGAAAGACTCATGAAACATGAACAAGATACAAGAGGGGATGATTGAACTCTGCTTACCTCCAGATCTACCTCACCCTGACCAGCCCCCACCTCCTCCAGTACAGTGGTTGGGAAGCCCAGCTCAGTGATGCTGCTAGCCACCTGCTGTGGCAGTACCAAGGCTGGATCAAATCGCACTTCTGCTTTAGCTGCCATTAGTGCTACAAGGATACTGTGAACACCTGTTGAGAACTTTTATTTTAAGTAACTAGCAGAAACATCAAAAGTATGTATGTATGTAGGTTGGTAGACAGCAACCACCTAGGGAGGTACTACCGTCCTGCCAAGTGAGCGTAAAACGGAAGCCTGTAATTGTTTTACATGATGGTAGGATTGTTGGTGTCTTTTTCCTGTTTCATAAACATGCAAGATTTCAGGTACATCTTGCTACTTCTACTTACACTTCGGTCACACTACACATGCATGTACACATTTATGTATACACACTCATCTGAGTTGTCTTCTCTCTTACTAGTTCTTGTTCTTGTTGATTTCCGCTTATTTCCATGGGGAAGTGGAACAGAATTCTCCCTCCATCAGCCATGCATGTTGTAAGAGGTGACTAAAATGCCAGAAGCAAGGGGCTAATAACCCCTTCTCCTGTATATATTACTAAATTTAAAAGGAGAAACTTTAGTTTTTCCTTTTGGGCCACACTACCTCGGTGGGATACGGCCAGTTTGCTGAAAGAAGAAGATGTAGTTCAAGTACAGAATAAATTTAATTATTTTTAACACAATGGCCATCTCCCAACAAGGTAGGGTGACCCTCCCCCCCATCAAAAAAAAAAAAAAAGGAAAAAAATCATCATTCATTCAATAGCTGTCCTGCCAGTAATGCACAGCATCCCTACCCTCCTTCAGTGTGCAGGCACTACTTCCCACCTCCAGAATAGTATATTAAGCATAAGTTATTATAAGCTTTGGATATATACAGGTTTCCCTTGCTTTATGTGGATTTGCTTAATGCAAATTCGCTATTTTGTGATGTCCTATTTCCATTATGTGCAATGCACATTCTCCATATTCAACTGGTGTGGCTCACAAAATGTATTAAAAATTCTTTTCCAGAATTAAAACGTTGTTGACTTGACTGAACTTAGCACAGCTACTATGGAAGTGGAATGCATCTACTGCATAAAATCTTTACTACAAAATTTATTAAGTCGCATTAATTTGAGCACAACAAGAAAAACAGAAAAATTTCATTATGTTGAAATTCCACATTATCAACAGCTTCACTGTTCTGCACACCTTGATTTTCACCACACACACATTATTGCACCCATCTGACCCTAGACATCCATACCTCCACTACACACATTACTGCATATCCTACATCCATCTGACCCTAAACATCATCCATACCCTTACCACACACATTACTAAAGATGCGACATCCACCTGACATTAAATATCCATACACTCACCACACACACATTACTATGCAGGCTTCATACATAGTTGTAAGAATATATACAATAGGAATCATGAGGCTAAGATTGAGTGAATTGTCAAGTGGCAAGTTTTAGAAGCATGGCCAGAAGATAAGAATCTACTCCTGTAACTACAAAATAAGTAAATACATATACAAAAGCACATACTATGTCTACCTGACTTTCATGTAAAGTGTGAGATACAAAGCTACCTGATCTCATCAACTGCCAATCATATACATACAGTAATAAATTTTATATTTTTGTTCCTTCACATGAAACTGATCTCTCTTAAATCCATCATTAATTAATGTCACTTGGTAAACTTATACTAAGATTCATCTTCAGTTTATCATATGCTTCCCTTACAGTTCATAAGGTTATTCATAAAAAAACATTTGTATTAATAAAATCAGCACTCATTTGCAAGCCCTAAAAGAAAGAAAGAGAGAGAGAGAGAGAGAGAGAAAGAGAGAGAGAGAGAAAGAGAGAGAGAGAGAGAGAGAGAGAGAGAGAGAGAGAGAGAGAGAGAGAGAGAGAGAGAGAGAGAGAGAGAGAGAGATAGAGAGATAGAGAGAGAGAGAGATAGAGAGATAGAGAGAGATAGAGAGAGAGATAGAGAGAGATAGAGAGAGATAGAAGAACCATGTTGTAAATCTTGCAAACAAGGCAGCCAGGAAGCTTACAGCACTTCGCCGTATCTCGCATCTGCTTGACAGTAGGGGTTGCAAGATTCTGTACGAGGCACAAGTACGCTCACACCTTGAGTATGGTCCACTTTCTTGGTTTACCTGCCCCCCCTCTCATCTGCAACTGCTTGACAGAGTAGAGAACAGAGCAAGACGTCTCATCTCTCGCCTGGACCCATCCTGGATAGATCTGTCATTTCAGCAGAGCCTTCAACATAGGAGGGATGTGGGTGGCCTTACTGTTATGTACAAGGCCAATATTGTCAAAATACCACACTTGGATCCACTTCGAGGACAGCGTGAAACAAGCTTTTATGCCACAAGACGGGCAGAAAGCAGCAACTTCACTCTGGCTGTACCCTTCTCCAGAACATCACTCCATCTGAGATCTTACATACCCAGGATGACTCGAGTATGGAACACATTCGTACAGCATAATGATGTCAACGAGATAACGTCAGTTGATCAAATGAAAATGCTGGCCCACAGATGGCTCCAACTTCATCCTGTCCCATACTTGTATGTCTCATAACAATAAAAATGCTTTCAAATGAGCTGATGTAGGTAACAGCTCTTAGCTTGCCAATAAAGTTAGGAATCCTTAACCTGTAATATAGCTGTCAATAAAGCTAGGGATCCTTAACCTTGTCAAACCCTGTGTAAAAAAAAAAAAAAAAAAAAAAAAAAAAAAAAAAAAAGAGATAGAGAGAGAGAGATAGAGAGAGATAGAGAGAGAGATAGAGAGATAGAGAGAGAGATAGAGAGAGAGATAGAGAGAGATAGAGAGAGATAGAGAGAGAGATAGAGATAGAGAGATAGAGAGAGATAGAGATAGAGAGATAGAGAGATAGAGAGAGAGAGAGAGAGAGAGAGAGAGAGAGAGAGAGAGAGAGAGAGAGAGAGAGAGAGAGAGAGAGAGAGAGAGAGAAAGAGGCAGGAGGAGGTGCATTTCCTACTTAAATCGCTTGACCAGGAAAAGGCTGTGGGCCCAGACAAGTTGAGCCCAAGATTGTTGAGAAGATGTGCAGACCAGCTAGCAGCACCTCTAACTCGCATCTTTCAGCACTGCCTAGTACAGTGCAAATGGCCCTCTCCATGGAAAGAGGCAAATGTAGTCCCTGTTCACAAAAAGAAGAGCAGAGCAGAAATCAGCAACTACAGACCAGTGTCACTCCTGTCAATCACTGGTAAGATCCTTGAGACAATAATCTCAAGACAAATGACAGAGTTTTTTGACTACCACTCACTACTTTGTGATCGTCAATATGGCTTCAGGAAAGGTTACTCTGCTGCTGATCTGTTGTTAAACCTCTCCACTAAGTGGCACCAGTCACTGGATGAATCCAAAGTCAGCTGTGTGGTAGCACTGGACATTGCTGGCGCTTTCGACCGGGTGTGGCACCAGGGCCTCTTAGCAAAACTTCAAGCACTGGGAATTGCAGGCTCTACGCTATGTCTCCTCAGTGATTACCTTCATGGTAGATCTCTAAGTGTAGTCCTCAATGGAACGGAATCAGCAAGGCATCCTATTGGGGCAAGCGTTCCACAAGGAAGTGTGCTGGGTCCACTGTTATGGAATGTCTACTTCAACGACCTTCTTCATCTCATCCCAGAATCACATGCATATGCAGACGACTGTACACTGACATTCACTTATCCAAGAGAAGAAATGCCAGCTGCTCTAAGCTACATCAATCACCAGCTGAGAGCTATATCAGCTTGGGGAAATAGATGGCAAGTAACATTTGCACCTGAGAAAACGCAAATGATGATCGTCTCTAGGCACCATGATGGTAATGCTGGTGCAGTAGTAAGGATGAATGGGACGATGTTGGCACCTGGAGAAGAAGTTGATATCCTTGGGGTGAAATTTGACTCCAAACTAACCATGAAGAACCATGTTGTAAATCTTGCAAACAAGGCAGCCAGGAAGCTTACAACACATTCGTACAGCATAATGATGTCAACGAGATAACGTCAGTTGATCAAATGAAAATGCTGGCCCACAGATGGCTCCAACTTCATCCTGTTCCCTACTTGTATGTCTCATAACAATAAAAATGCTTTCAAATGAGCTGATGTAGGTAACAGCTCTTAGCTTGTCAATAAAGTTAGGAATCCTTAACCTGTAAATAGCTGTCAATAAAGCTAGGGATCCTTAACCTTGTCAAACCCTGTGTAAAAAAAAAAAAAAAAAAAAAAAAAAAAAAAAAAAAAAAAAGACAAAGAGAGAGAGACAAAGAGAGAGAGACAAAGAGAGAGAGAGACAAAGAGAGAGAGAGACAGAGAGACAGAGAGACAGAGACAGGGAGAGAGAGAGAGAGAGAGAGACAGAGTGAGACAACAATAAAAATGCTTTCAAATGAGTTGATGTAGGTAACGGCTCTTAGCTTGTCAATAAAGTTAGGAATCCATAACCTGTAAATAGCTTGTCAATAAAGCTAGGGATCCTTAACCTTGTCAAACCCTGTGTAAAAAAAAAAGACAGAGAGAGACAAGGAGAGAGAGACAAAGAGAGAGAGAGAGACAAAGAGAGAGAGAGAGACAGAGAGAGAGAGAGACAGAGAGAGAGACAAAGAGAGAGAGAGACAAAGAGAGAGAGAGACAAAGAGAGAGAGAGAGAGAGAGAGAGAGACAAGGAGAGAGAGAGGCAAAGAGAGACAGAGAGCAGAATCACATTTTGCTTCTTTTTAGTTTTTTAGCTTATATGTAATAATTTCTAAATGAGTAAATAGTGTTTTAACCCTTAAACTGACCCAACATAGATCTACGTTCACTTGTGCAACGCTCCAAATATTTTGTAAAAAAAAAAAAAAAAATTAAATTAAAGAGAGCAATTTTCTGTGCATTATAAGACCAAAAAATCAAATTTAGGACCAGTACTTACCAAGATACAAGACTGCGAAGTTGGTGCTGGATGCTCACCTGACGACAACATCGAGTCCTGCCGTTTGCAGAAGTGTTGCCGATATACCTTTTTTTCTTATTTTAATTTTAATTTATATAATTTTTATGTTCCAATAATTACAATCTATAATAGTTCTTGTGATTTCATAGCCAATCTTTGTTCTGACACTAATATTAGGTACTGAAATAGTACTCAAATAGTCACAATCACACCGACAGGTGAACATTTTCACCTGCCTTGGTCATTTACTATTGTCTAGAAATATACAGGAAGCCCTCCACATTCGCGAGGGTTAGGGGATCAAGAACCTCGCGAATCTTGAAAATTTGCAAATGTTTCGTGCGCAAATGTGATGTAGGGAAATATAATAACTGTACTGTAGCGTTAGTGACTGTTTTGATGCGCAAATATATTGTAGGGAAATATAATAATACCACTACTTAGCCTAACAATACTGCTTCCTTAATCTACTGAACCACGAACAATCATAAAACACATGGAAACATCATAAAATATTGTACATATATGATTGGGCAGCTGGGCATTCACGAATGTTCAAAGCTTGCGAAAGTGGAGGGCTAGCCGTATACAAAGTATTTATAGGTCTCAGCAATGTTTTAGATATGCTGGAGTATATATGAAGCTCCTTGAAGCATCATGTAAGACGAGTGTCACTAAACTGCTGACAGTGAAGCAGTAGTTTGACACTTGATGATCGTGCACTGTTGCAGGGAACCCCCGGCTTTATTTGTTTTCACTGTTACACACAAACATGTCTGTCTGTCTGTATGTGTCTAGCTCTGCTTATCTATTTGTCTAACTCTGCATATCTGTCTTTCTGTCTGCCTGTGTGTATGTCTTTCCGTCTGCTTGTCACTGTCTCAGGGAGTGGCTCGTAAACCTGTTGGTTTACGAGCTGCTACCTGATTCCTAAGCAAGTGAAAATGCTTATTATGCCTTATATCTATAAACATTGTATAGCACTTTGTCTGGAATTTTTGGGTTATCCTAGGTAATTTACACCATGTATAATAACTGTACTTATGTGTGCCTGTCAGAGACAGACGTATAGACAACAGACAGCCTAAACCAGCCGGCCAGCCAGCCAGATACACATGACATTCTGGCAGGATGACACTACCAGTGTTATCAGAAATGAAAGGATGTTGCACAAATGTTGCACATGGGTAATTATCGAGGTTTTTTGATATTTCCTCGACCACTTGTGGCCACATCCATCTCAAAGCCATTAAACTTTGGGTAAACATCTTAAAAGGGGAGTGTTAATACAACATGATATCAGTGAATCCCTGGTGTTCGCCATGATATTTGCTCTAGCTGGCACTCAATTGAACTGGTACTCCCACAAGGTACTAAGTGGTCCCAGAATTTTTTAATACTGCACACACCGAGTGTTAAGATCCATTCTATACCAACGAGGTATCTCAGGTCAATCGTGCCAAATCTGGAGGCAGGAAAAATAAAACGTTAATCTACGTTTGGATCACTAGCGGTACAAATGTAAATCTACATTTGGACAGTTTAAGGGTTAAAGCATTTTTAACAGAAGTTCAGGGTTTGAGTTAGTTCTTATTATCCTTGACACCTTACATGTTCTTAATTTTTCTCAACCTGAGAACTTTTCTGAACACACCTCATACAACTGTCTACAGTTATATAAGAAAAATACATTAGAGTTCTTACCTTGGATCTTTTTAGCATGTTTCTCAATAGCTGCCACACAGGAGGCACAGGTCATACCAGTGATTCGGAGGAAACACTTCTCCAGATCTGCTTCATCTCCTTCAAATGCAACATTTTCTTGCCATGAACTGGTGACACTCACTTCTCGAGATAATTTTGATGATTGTACTGAGGAAAATAATTCAATATATATACATATATATAATTTTTTTTTTTTTTTTCAACAAGTCGGCCGTCTCCCACCGAGGCAGGGTGACCCAAAAAAGAAAGAAAATCCCCAAAAAGAAAATACTTTCATCATCATTCAACACTTTCACCACACTCGCACATTATCACTGTTTTTGCAGAGGTGCTCAGAATACAACAGTCTAGAAGCATACACATATAAAGATACACAACATATCCCTCCAAACTGCCAATATCCCAAACCACTCCTTTAAAGTGCAGGCATTGTACTTCCCATTTCCAGGACTCAAGTCCGACTATATGAAAATAACCGGTTTCCCTGAATCCCTTCACTAAATATTACCCTGCCCACACTCCAACAGATTGTCAGGTCCCAAGTATCATTCGTCTCCATTCACTCCTATCTAACACGCTCATGCAAGCTTGCTGGAAGTCCAAGCCCCTCGCCCACAAAACCTCCTTTACCCCCTCTTTCCAACCCTTTCGAGGACGACCCCTACCCCTCTTTCCTTCCCCTATAGATTTATATGCTTTCCATGTCATTCTACTTTGATCCTTCTCTCTAAATGACCAAACCACCTCAACAACCCCTCTTCTGCCCTCTGACTAATGCTTTTATTAACTCCACACCTTCTCCTAATTTCCACACTCCGAATTTTCTGCATAATATTTACACCACACATTGCCCTTAGACAGGACATCTCCCATGCTCCAACCGTCTCCTCGCTGCTGCATTTACCACCCAAGCTTCACATCCATATAAGAGTGTTGGTACTACTATACTTTCATACATTCCCTTCTTTGCCTCCATAGATAACGTTTTTTGACTCCACATATACCTCAACGCACCACTCACCTTTTTTCCCTCATCAATTCTATGATTAACCTCATCCTTCATAAATCCATCCGCCGACACGTCAACTCCCAAGTATCTGAAAACATTCACTTCTTCCATACTCCTCCTCCCCAATTTGATATCCAATTTTTCTTTATCTAAATCATTTGATACCCTCATCACCTTACTCTTTTCTATGTTCACTTTCAACTTTCTACCTTTACACACATTCTCAAACTCGTCCATATATTTATTGCCTCCTTCTATGCTTATATATGTCCATTACAATTAAGTATTGAATATTCTGGTCTAAAATGCTCATAGTTCAGTTTTATTCCTTTCAGTTGTGCTGTATTTATCACAAGGTGCATATTTATTTTGTATGATACATGCATACAACATTGTCAAACGCTCTAATCTTGAGATGACACATGATTTAACATAAACCTGGCTGTCTTCCAAGCTGATCTAATCTTGGCTGTCTAAGATAAGATTTGCTTGGATTTTTAACCCAGAAGGTTTAGCCATCTAAGAAAGTCAATGCATCATTGAGGACTGTCTGTCTTATTTCCACTGGGGTCCTTCAATTTTGTCCCCTAGGATGCGACCTACACCAACTGACAAACATTCAAGTATCTACTTACTGCTAGGTGAACAAGGACAGCAGGTGTAAGGAAACATGAATCAAGCACACTCAGTGTGTGAGGCGAAAGCGCTGCCAACCAAGCCACGGGACCTTAGCTGTCTCCTAACTTCTCTTCAGCTGACCTGACTTCCAGTTTTCTCCCTTTTCTCTATTACTTCTGATTTAATAATAGTCTGAGACAGGCTGAAATTCCACTTAATTTCATCTCTAATATGTGGGTTAGATATGAAGTGCTTCAGCATGGTACATACTGTAATATTTATTCATTGTGTATTGATAAATGATGTAAGTACATTACAAAATAGTTTCACACAAGAGAACAATTCCATTATAGTCTCTTGCCCCGTCCCTTCCAGCTTGCCTATATATAATGGCTCCTTCTCTCCTTCCTGTTAATGTGACTTTGTAAATGGTCTACATCGGACTGTAATGTCATCGTCAGCTCCTCTCTTCTATGAGCGGGTTATCTGTGTATTGTTCCAGTCACGGTATTGTGCCTTTTTGTTCTTTAGTCTGCTTAGCTAAAATTACATTGAGCCCTGGTTCCTCTACCCAATATTTGGGATGCATAATAAACCTAACCCCATATTAAAGCTATCAAATAAAGCACCCCAAGACATTAATTAAAAGTTATTATTCGAAGTGTCTAATTATTAAGTCCCACTTAGCGGGACTTGAGTCCTGGAGGTGGGAAGTACAATGCCTGAATTCTAAAGGAGGAATTTGGGATACCTGCTGTTTAGAGTGACATCTAAACTGTCGTATCTGTGTGCCTCTGGCAAGACAGTGATAGTGCGAATGATGGCGAGTTTCTTTTTTGGGTCACCGTGCCTCAGTAGGAAAGAGCCAGCATGTTAAAAATTATATAAAACAGTTTGACAAAAACATGAAAGGGCAGATTTCAAACACACCAAAGATATTAAATAAGTTTGATTATGACCACTTCTTTGATGCATCTAATATGATACAAAAGAGAGATCACAATTTTAAGCTTGTCAAGTCTTAGCACAGAACAGAAAATAGAAAAACTTCTTTACTCACTGTAATAACAACAAAAAATCTATGGCAGACAATCTGATGAAGACAGTGAAGCAGTAACAATGTTCAAACTTTAAAACATTGTACAACTGGACAAATTGCTTAGATTAAAAAGAACTGTTGCAGGTTGCAGACTCCTTATTCTCAACAGTGCCACTAGAGATGGGTGCTATGGCAGGCAAATTCAAGTAATTATCCTGTACTGTTTAACTTCAAATATTTTTAATAGATGACCCAAAGAAAACATTCACCCTCACTCACTCCCTAGCTGTCTTGCAGTCTTCTAGATGAATGTGGACATCACAATTCCAATGGCACTTAACCTGCTCTACTAAGTGTAAGAAATAATTGATCTTACCTTTACCATTCATCACTGGCTGCCTCTGATTGGATTCATCTGTGTTCACACAGGCCTCAAAGCCCATATCTTCAATCATATCAGCTATTAGATCACCAGTTACTAGTTCAGGGTTGAACTCCACTCTTCCTTCAGCTTTTTCTAAATTAACCTTCGGAGAATAAGAGGTATAGCATATTATTACATATGCAAATTTCTCTATATATGGTATATATAAACATTTACCGAGTTTTTTCAGTAAGCGTGCATGGATGTATGGACTTTAGTTGATGTGTGTGTATATGTATATTTATTGTATATGGAAGAAATTACAATAAAATGCATGACTGCAAATATGTAAAAATATCAGTGAAAATAGGAAATAAAACCTAAGCACTTTCACGTGCTTACACACACATCTTCAGATACGTATGTATATACGTATGCATACATACATACATACATGCATGAATGTATGTATGTAGCTTTGTATACATGTGTGTAGGTGAACATATGCATATATCTTACCCATTTGTCACAGTTTACCTTAAGGATAATTATTTAAGAGAAAATGGAAGAATTGGTAAAATCAGTTACAGAAACATGCATAAATTTTCTTTTACTTTTCTATGGTTCAATGAGGTTCCTATCTCGTCATCATTATCATAATTAGGTACTGTATATTAAAGTATAGCTTATATTTACGAGAAACAAAAAACATCTTACCTTTATGCTCTTAATGCCAGCCTTCACTCCTATACTGCATTCTATGTTTTGAACACAGGAGTTACAAGTCATTCCCTGAATGGATATTATACAGGTTTCCAACTTCTCACCAGATTGTAAAGCATCTTGAAGTGTTCCTTCAAATCCCATATCACATATGTATTTCTGCAGCTGCCCTGGGTTGGTTTCTTGAGGATTATATGTAATTATTCCCATTTTTTTTTCCAAACTCACCTGTGGAAAATAACTGTTGTACAGGGTTTTGTCTTAATTATTAATTATTGGAGACATATGGTTTTTAATACCTGACGTGCTGTTGGAGTGTGAGCAAAGTAACATTTATGAAGGAGGGGTGTTAATGTTGCAGTTTTATAACTGTAGTGTAAAGCGCCCCTCTGGCAAGACAGTGATGGAGTGAATGATGATGAAGTTTTTCTTTTTCAGGCCACCCTACCTTGGTGGGAATCAGCCGATGTGTTAATACAATAAAATAAATAGTACAGTGTCATACCTTGTCAACTGTTCCAAACCTCTCACAACCCTGTTCTTATGTTTAATTTTGATTTTTTAAATGAAAACGCAAGTTAATTTTCTTTGATTTCCAGCTCCTCCACTTCACTACGAGGTTGATGCTTGAATTTTTCTTATATCTCTATCCATTTGCCTAAAACTTTAACAAGATTTCTTGCTATTACAGTATATCCATGTACAGCTTCTCCTCACTTAGCGACGTACTCATTTACCGATGACTCAGACTTGCGATGGGCTCTCTGACCAATTTGCATACCTAAATAATGTATATCAGAGCTGATTTCCTCTATTCTATTTATTACTATATACAGTACACTACTGTATAAATATTTAAAAATATGCCAGAAATGTTATAAATGGTGCAAAAGTGACATTAAAACAATATTAGAGATGGTTGACACAACCCCACTACCATTATAGTATGCTCCTCATTTAGCATCAGATTTGTTTACAGACATGGTCTTAGGAACAGAACTCCGCTGCTAAGTGAGGATAGGCTGTATTTATCATTATTCATGGAACCCAAGAGGAACACTAGTGATACTGAATGTGAAAAGATGATGACTATGGTATGAATATATGTTGATAAGCAAGTACATCCTAGGTAGTAGGTTGGTAGACAGCAACCGCCCGCTGTATTTATCATTATTCATGGAACCCAAGAGGAACACTAGTGATACTGAATGTGAAAAGATGATGACTATGGTATGAATATATGTTGATAAGCAAGTACATCCTAGGTAGTAGGTTGGTAGACAGCAACCGCCCAGGGAGGTACTACCGTCCTGCCAAGCGAGTGTAAAACGAAAGCCCGTAATTGTTTTACATGATGGTAGGATTGCTGGTGTCCTTTCTTCTGTCTCATGAACATGCAAGATTTCAGGTATGTCTTGCAACTTCTACTTACACTTAGTTCACACTACACATACATGTACAAGCACATATATACACACCCCTCTGGGTTTTCTTCTATTTTCTTTCTAGTTCTTATTCTTGTTTATTTCCTCTTATCTCAATGGGGAAGTGGAACAGAATTCTTCCTCCGTAAGCCATGCGTGTTGTAAGAGGCGACTAAAATGCCGGGAGCAAGGGGCTAGTAACCTCTTCTCCTGTATATATTACTAAATGTAAAAGGAGAAACTTTCATTTTTCCTTTTGGGCCACCCTGCCTTGGTGGGATACGGCCAGTGTGTTGAAAGAAAGAAGCAAGTACATATTTAAGATATACCATAGTAAGCTGTAAGCAGGATCTCAGACCATGAAAATGGCTTTTCAGCATGAGGTGTATGAATCAATGATTCACACAATAAGGAAAACTGAGATAGCTATTCACACCTGTGTCTAGTGCAGGTGACAGTTTAATTATTACTGTATTATTATATTATAGGAGAAGTGCTAAACTCACAGGTGTCATATAATGCCTGGGAATGAGAGGCAATCAGGTTTGACTCATGGAAGAGGAGGACATGTTCAATTCTTTGGATCAAAAATCCCTCACTAGCATCAAGAAATCTCCCTTCAGGAAAGGTGACAATGAAGTGATCAGTCAGAAGGATGTGTATGAGGTCTGTACAGTTGAATAAGAGAGAGGGGTTGTCAAATCTCTGGACTGTAAAAAAAAACTGCTCCAATTATTTCCAACAAAATACAATAACCCTTGGTTGATAAACAGTATAGTATGTCCGAGACGCTGACACAAAACAGAATGACTTGGAGGGCATATAAACACTTAGTAGAAAGAAGGCAGGGTAGGTGTCATCCTAGGAAAAGTTGGAGGGAAGAGGTAAAGGAGGTTAAGTGTGCGAGGGGCTCAGACTTCCAGCAAGCATGCATGAGTGTGTTACATAGGAGGGAGTGGAGGCAAGTGGTTTTTATGGCATGACATGCTGTTAGAGTGTGAGCAAAGTAACATTTATGAAGGGATTCATGGAAACCAGTTAGCCAGGCTGGAGTCCTGGAGGTAGGAAGTACAGTGCCTCCACTCTGAAGGAGGGGTGCAGATACTATGTTGCAGTTTTTGAACTGTAGTGTAGGCATGCCTCTGGGAAGACAGTGATGGAGTAAGTGATGATGAAAGTGTTTCTTCTTTATTGGTTTGGTCACCCTGCCTAGTGGGAAACGACTGATGTATCAATAAAAAAAATGTCCAAGTGGTGACAAACGACACAATCAGTAGGTTGCAGTACTGTACATCAATCCTCCCCATATATGTCATATCTTTCTCTTACATTACTTAAAAATATACCAGTACATGATTAACATTTTTAAAATATAAAGAAAGAAATTGTTAGGTTTTAACAGATATACTGTCTGCCTCACTGTAGGCTAGGGCTCAGAAATTTATGGGTCAATCCAAAGCACACAAATACTCATGCAGAAACAATGCAACACCTGACTGTGACTTTCACCTCTGATCAAATTTCACCAAAATTATACTGTACAATCCAATGCAATTTACAGCATAATAGTGACACAATTCTTGTGAAAAGCCCATAGTATGCACAGTATTAAATTACTTGACAAATACTGTAACTGTTCCGAAATTATTTTTTATATACACATTTTTATTATGCTTTAATATTATTGTACTGAGAAATATTAAATTAAAAATCTGAAAATGTAATTTACCTTTATGGATAAGACACCTGGTTTTCCTCCAACTGTTGACTCTATGTTCTTCACACATGATATACAAGTCATGCCTATAATACCCACAGTTACAATAGATGCATCAGTTTCCAAGAGTGTAGCTTCAAAACCCATATCATCTATTATCGTCCTGAAATGAGAATAAAACTATTAACCACCAAGACAAGCAGTCTTTCAATGATTTGCCCACATACTGTACTGAAAATAGTCAACGTAAGCTCAGTATATATTCTTCAATTAAATGTAATTTATTAGGTAGGAGGTTGGTAGACAGCAAACACCCAGGGAAGTACTACTGTCCTGCCAAGTAAGTGCGAAACAGAAACCTGTAATTGTTTTCATGATGGCAGGACTGCTTTGTCTTTTTTTTGTCTCATAAATGCATAGGATACAAGGTATATTTTGCTACTTCTACTTACACTTAGGTTACACTACATATTCATGTACAAGCATATATATATACACACCCCTCTGGGTTTTCTTCTATTTTCTTACTAGTTCTTGTTCTTGCTTATTTCTTATCTCCATGGGAAAGTGGAACAGAATTCTTCCTCCATAAGCCTTGTGTGCTGTAAGAGGTGACTACAATGCCAGGAGCTAGGGGCTAGTGACCCCTTCTCCTGTATATATTACTAAATTTAAAAAAGAAGCTTTCATGTGTCTTTTTGGGCCACCCCACCTTGGTGGGATACGGCCCATGCATTGAAAGAAGAAGACACCCATCTGGGTTTTCTTTTATTTTCTTAATAGTTCTTGTTCTTCTTTACTTCCTCTCATCTCCATGGAAAAGTGGAACAGAATTCTTCCTGTGTAAGCCATGCATATCGCAGAGGAAAGTACAATGCAGGGAGCAAGGGACTAGTAACCCCTTCTCCTGCATACATTACTAAATTTATAAAAAGAAACTTCCATTTTTCTTTTTAAATCTCGGTGGGATGCAGCCATTTTTCTTTTTAAATCTCGGTGGGATGCAGCCAGTTCTTTGAAAAACAAATGTAATTTAGATGTTTTTTAGTGCATTTCATTTGTATTAATTTTTAAAGGAATTAAAAAAATATGCATACCTCACTACATTTTTCAAGGTTTAACTTAACATAAATTAAAACACAAAAGTGTAATTCAAACTTATCAATGGCACAAATTTACCCATGTTTAAAAAATAAAAGAATAGGCAAGATGAGTACGGTATAGTTCATCCTATTACCAAAGAAGACCTATGAGATAGATCGAAATACAGTGGACCCCCGGTTAACGATATTTTTTCACTCCAGAAGTATGTTCAGGTGCCAGTACTGACCGAATTTGTTCCCATAAGAAATATTGTGAAGTAGATTAGTCCATTTCAGACCCCCAAACATACACATACAAACGCACTTACATAAATACACTTACATAATTGGTCACATTCGGAGGTAATCGTTATGCGGGGGTCCACTGTATACAATACCATCCTCTTTTTGTCTGCTATATATTCTCCATACGGGTTCATTTGTACCATAATATATACTGCTAACTTTACCTGATGACTTCTCTCGAAGTGTGTGCTGGGTCTATGATGAGAGTGGCTACTTCTTCTTCCAGAGATACCTTTATATAGTGGACGCCATCTTGTTTCCCAATATTGCCTTCAATATTCTTTACACAGGAATTGCATGTCATGCCTGGAAAGTAAAATAATATACTGTAGTTATGTTGAAGATTAGTTCAAAGAAATAACTGAATGAAAGCAAACCCTAGTTAGATTAAATAAATATTTTTCAATGAATATCGCTTATTTTAGCTAACAAAATATAGATCTGATTAGAGATGTTATTTTATCTGTAACACAATTTTCATTTAAGAAAATGAGGGGAATTGAAAAAATTTGAGCAAACTAATCTTAAGAGGCACCATCAGGAAATATTATACTAATCAATTTCGCTGAAAAATTTCACGATTTATACAGTTTTGTCAACTGAACATGACTATTTGTGTCATTCCAATTCTACAAAACTGAACTATTTCACATCACTTTGAACAAGAAAACAACATCACTAATGGCACATTTAAAAATACTTGTCTATTCTGAATCTTTATACTGTATAAAACCTCAAGAGTTATGCTGCAAATATATATTCCACACCCTTAGCATACAGGGAAATGTGTGCCACATGTACAGAATTACTAAGAGAAATGGGAGATTGCTTCTGCCCTGAGGTTGCTTTACAGTCTTTCATTTTCCCTGTCTCTATCTCAATATCAATTAGAGTACTACATATTATATACCCAACATTAAATACTATATCAAAGTATCCTCACCTTTAACAGAAATTTGAATTAGCTGGTCACCACAGGCACAGGTGATAGGCTCTCCCAGTAGATTTGCAACTCTGATGTTACTGTCCATGTTCCCTGCAATGTCTTCCTTATCATCATCCAGAATCAATTGGTTTCCATTAATTTTCACCGGAGAGACGTTTCTGTTTAAAAGTTTAGCTTCAAACCCCATATCATCAATCCTGTCAGCAACTTGTGCACCAGTGATCACATATGAATTGTGAATTACAGTTCCTTGTTTTCTTGCCAAATCAACTTTAATCGAGTGCACCCCAGGAAGAGCACTCACTGTTCCTTCTATGTTCCGCACACATGACTGGCATGTCATGCCTTCTATACTAATAAGTGAAGTTAAAGAAGCCATTTTTATCTTGCAGCTTCACAAGCAAAAAACAATAATTTGTTTTTGTTTCACAAAATATTTTGTGTCTGTCTAAGAAACATTCTTTCAACTTACCCAAACTTCCTTTTCATAGCGTTACTTTCCATATTATCAAGTAACATTATACATTACTGTCTTTTATAAAAATCATGACAAAAAGTTCTTGCTACTGTGTCAAGAGAAAACCTTCCATTTCCTGGAGTTGGATGAAATGTCAGAGTTCAGTTGATAATGTTACGTCCTCAATTAGCAATAGATAATAAGTTACTTATAGTACAGAATGTAGTTCTGACGTATATTCTTTTCTTGACCTCAATTCCAAAGACCTGTAAAAGTAATTATAGTCGTATAAGCATAAATATATACACAAGAAATACGTATTACGTACTTCACAAAACACTGAATTTATTTATATACAGTGGAACCTCGGTTTTTGTATGCCCTAGTTTTTATACGATTCAGTTTTCGACAACTTTTTCGTTGAAATTTTGTCCCAGTTTTCGTACATCCGCTCAGTTTTCGTACAGTTGAAAATAGTCTGTGCCAAACTCGTCCACCTGCCCGCATGACTTGGCCACTCATTTCGTGGAATTGAGTGCCCACACAGAGCATCACCCGGCACGTTCATCAGAAACATTTCATAATAATCCATTGTTTTTGTCCTTGTTGTGGAAGAGTTGGTGGACGACCACAGGGAAGAGCTAACCACTGAAGAGCTGCAAGACCTTCAACTGGAACAGCAACAGACTGCAGCTGAGGAAATTGCTTCAGAGGAGGAGGAAGAGAGAGAGAGGGGAGAACGTGCCTTCTTCAGTGATTAAGGACATACAGTATGTGCAAAGTGGAATGAGTTGCAAAGTTTTGTGGAGAAATATCACCCTAACAAAGCTGTTGGAAGCCGTGTCTGCAACATGTTCAACCCTAACAAAGCTGTTGGAAGCCGTGTCTGCAACATGTTCAATGACAATGCCTTGTCCCATTTTAGGCAAATCTTAAAGAGATGCCAGAAACAGACCTCTCTGGACAGATCTTTTGTTCGACAGGGGTCCAACGACTCAAGCTGGTCATGGTGCCAGTAAAAAACAAAGAAGGGAAGTAACCCAGGATAGGGTCTTGATACCTAATTTCCTTATGGACAGAGATTCCCTTTCCAAACAATAACCTCTCCTCCTCCCTCTCCCCTCCTTGCTGTATTCCATATGCCAACAAGAGTCTTCAATAAAGGTAAAAGTGATGTTAAATGTTCATTTATCCATTTCATTAGTCATTTATATTTCTTATTGTTTTCTGTATGTAAAACTATGGTTATTCTCTATAAAATGTATTTTTTGTTAATATTTTTGGACGTCTGGAATGGATTAATTGGATTTCCATTATTTCTTATGGAAAATATTGCTTCAGTTTCGCACAATTCAGTTTCCGTCAGACTTTTTCGAACGGATTAATCACGAAAAACCGAGGTTCCACTGTACTAAGTGTTCCTTATTTTGTTGTACAGTAGATGCAATCCAGATCCTTGGCAACTCTACCAAGATCTACCAGACCAGTAACAACTATACATAAGAATCTTCAATGCACTTTGTGAACCACATCAAGAGCATATGGCGATCATTAATTGCATATACTACCAAATTAATGATAAAAATTAAACACTGCCCAATAGCAAATTTGCCAAAGTGAATTCACATAAAGCAAGAGAGACCTATACTGTCAGGAGCATAACTCATAAATCATGATGATATGCAAATAAATTGTGATAGGACATTATACAGAAATGTACAATATTAATACAGATATACAATTAAGCAAAGGAAAGTACACTTGTCTATGTGTGATCCAAATATTGGAGACAACTACACCTGTGCCGCCAACACCTGATCAAGCATATAAAAATCTACAAACATATGAAGGTTCGCAATGAGACTGGTAAAGTAACTTATGGTGATAGAATACAAGAAGACAAAGAATTCAAACTAACAACACTAGAAGAAAGGACCAGGGAAAATATGCTGACATACAGACTCTAAATGATTTGATGACAGTGGGGACAGGCATCAGGAGGGAGCCAGGGTAACAGAGATAATGGCTCAACGCGCATAGGCATAGGGAAGTTACGAGGTACATTTTTAGTTTTATGGCTGTAAGTATAGTGCACTAGAAGGAGAGGTGGAAGTAAACACCATATACAGTTTAAAAGCAGATATCAGCGGCAGTGTGGAGGCTAAGAATCAATTAAAGCCGCTCGATCGTGTCCAAGCCAACATACACTGGTAAATCAAACCTGCATGTGGTCTTCCTGAGATGAGAGCAACAAGTGCTCTGGTGGACGATGCAAAACACTATAGTGTCCTTAGTCATAAGGTCAATGAAATCATGCATCAGCCAGGGACGGGAGGAGAGCATCGTTCAGGAAGTATACACTGAAGTAGCACGGTGAGACAGACCAAACTTCCCACCTCAAATGGATGTGGAGTATCAGTAACAAAACCTACTTGGAGGTCACTTGTATTTACTTCCAGTTGGGTGGCTGGTTAAATATTGCACATTAAAAAGTACTGTCATTGACTGAGTTTATGACTCAACAAAATCTTAGGTTATGACGCAATCGTGAGTAGCCTCACAAGGAAACGGATATAACAGCCTTGCACCAACGACGAGCCAAAGAAATCTCAATTCAACCTCATACTCTGTCAAACTAAACGACGACACTCGTGATGTTCTTGACAATGTGGTGTGGATCACATCCGGTGCGTGTGACCCATCTCCCATGACAGCTCAGTGACCCGTGCACCAAGACACAGTTCAATGAGTAGGGGGTGGGGAGTCACTCAATGTGACCAGTGAATCATGAGAGCTCCGTGAGGAGGGGGTCACCCTTAATATATGTGACCAGTGCATCATGCCATAGCTCGGAGATGGCTAGGCTACCCATAATGTGTGACCCGCGCCCCATAACTCAGTGAGAGGGCCAGGTCACCCACAACGTGATTCATGCTCCCATAACAGCTCAGTGAGAAGGCCAAATCACCCACGTGTGATTCATAGTCCCACACAGCTTAGTGAGAGGACCATGTCACCCATGAGCCCTTTCTTTGTTTTGTTTTTTCCCCAAAACCCCACACTGGATGTTCTCGCAAATACCTTGCACAGTTGCGTGTCGGCGATCGCCTGCCCACTCGCCTTATCAGTCATCCTCACCAAATCCAGTCTCCTGATTTGATCCACGATCGACCTAGCAACTGGGTTAAGCCCTGGTACTATTCCTCTCGCCAGCTTATTCTTCCCCTATTCCCAATTCCCCGCTCACCCCACAAGGGTCTTGCCTATCTTTTTGACCCACGAGTGATAATGCTTCCAACAGCTCAGTGAGAGAGCCAGGCCACCCACATGTGATCTATGAGCCCTCCTTACTCCCCATAACAGCTCAGTGAAAGAGCCAGGCTACCCACATGTGATCCATGCCCCCATAGTAGCTCAGCGAGAGGGCCAGGTCACCCTCAACATAACCCCGAGAAACTACCTGAAGTACGTATATGGTTGCGTCACTCACCATAATATGCAACCATCAAATGCAACCCGACAACCTAAACCAATGTTATTTGTTGATGCCACTCACGTTATATGCTGATGTTACTATAATTATGAGCCTTAACGCTAAATAATAGTAAATAACGAACTACAAAATATGCTTACATGGATGATGACTCACAATCAAGAGGCGCTGCATACAACATATACCTCGAAATCAGTGACATTAAACAGAAAAAAAAGGACGAAGTTAATAGGTAAGCCAACCTGTCGGTATTGTATACCATTTTGAAATTCACCCTGTAAGACACTGCAACACAATGGCATCTTGGTACAGAAAACACCTTGGACAACTTTTTCAAGTGAGAATTGTTTGATCTGAGAGGGACGTGACCTCACAGTGGCTGCATTCTCACTACTCTGCACCTCTCCTTCCGACAGTATTTAAGTCTCCGCACTGTCGCTTGATCTTCAGATAGTTCCAGACTATGGAACTGAACTTCTCCAGGCTGAGGGACTGACAACCTCAAATCTACGACTTCAAGGGTGATGGACTGATTACATCGTCTTCACATCTCTACTGTTCCTGCCTACTTTCTGTATTCAACTGAAGAAGCCTACTGTGTAGGCGAAACGTTTCGGAATAAAGTTGCCTATGTGTCTTACCTACCAACCTGTCGGTATTGTATACCATTTTGAAATTCACACTGACTTATTGGGTTATCCTATGACATATTTTACATAATTTACTATATAAAATCACTGCAAAAGTTCCTTACCTCCAGGCCTACACATATTTAACACATTAAAACTGAATATTTATATTCTTCACATAAATAAAAATATAAAAACATTAGGTATTCTTTCAAAGATCTGCTGTATTTATTACTACATACCACTTACACTATGCTATACATTAATAAATAAAATTTTTACTTATGATTTTATACATGTTAATTATCTTTTGACGCTCCCCTTCCCAGCAGTTACAATTATGTCTAGTAGAATTTTTTATAAACACGGGTCATGCAACGCAGGGAAACGGGGAGGTAATCAGGTTTGATCCAAAGAAGAGAAAGGAAGCCCCAGATCCCTAGATCAAGCGCCCCTTCCAGCGCCAAGGAACCCCCCCTTCCTCTAGAAAGGTCTTGTAACAAACATTTTGGTATATATGACACCGTCACAAGTAAATCACACAGGTGACATCATAATTTGTCACCCTATTTCTGGTTAGTGAATTTATCCTTCTTGCCACCAATTTTCTCATCTCGGTCGTTTAGGTAATATATGACGAGGAGTCTTGTGGAGCTTAGATGAGTCCTGTGGAGCTCAGAGTAGTTCTGTGGAGCTAACAGGTGTCCTGTGGAGCTTAGAGAAGTCCCGTGGAGCTTAGAGTAGTCCTGTCTAACGTAGAGGGGTCCTGTCGAGCTTAGAGAAGTCCTGTCGAGTTAGAGGAGTCCTGTGGCGCCTCACGTGTAACCAACTACCATTTCGATTTTGTACCATTTACGCTCTTAGTACCTTATTGGGTGACTGGCGCTACAGCTCATCATCATACTGTACATAACGAGCATATGGTTTCCAACGATATTATTACATTAATGGTTTAGAAAACCGACAAGTTGATGACTAAGATATATTGACCGTGCTTTTTGTAATAGGAATAAGAAGATGAGAGATAGAGTGTGCTTCCCTGGAGCTGGTGTTGGGGACTTAGTTAACAGGCTGGATAATATCATGTCCGGTAATGGGAGCAAGCCCATTATCTGTCTCAGTGCTGGTGGAAATAATATTGGGA